GCTTGACGATAGGAATGTTTGAGGATCTATACCGGGGATAGGGTCGTTTTTTTTCTTCCCATTTTAATTAAAATATTTTGTATATATTTATATTATCATGTTCCTCAGCAACAGTAGTTTCATGAGAAGTTTTTAAATATTTTGTAGCAATTGAAATAATTTAAAATGAAATCTTTAACTTTTATTGGTTGCCACACTGGCCCCTAATTTATTTTATGGATTACTGGTACACAAAAAATAACAAACTAAACAAAAATGTTTACAAGCCACTTTCACTTAAGTTTCTTTTTCTATTATTTGCATTCAAGATACTCAGTACATTACTTGGTAGAGAAATAGATTTTAAAATTAACAATAGTTTTGAATTATTCGCAGTCACGTGACAAGGCTGACCGACACGATATCTCTCGCCACTTTGTTACGGCGGTCATGTGACTTGGTCGCCGGACACATAGTGCGGGAGATAGACGTCCGGCGCGCCGGACGTGTAGACACTGCCTTTATTAAAAGGCCACAATTTTATCATAAATTAAATAATATAATTATTCCAATTATAAAAAAATAACAAAGAAAATAACATCATTAGTGACATTATTAGTCATTAGGCCAACTTTGTATCATCATAATAATAATCATATTGGCATTATAGGCTACTATTACAATTTTATGATATAAATTATGATTAATTATAATTATAAGCCTAGACCAAGTAAAGCCTACTAACCTAATAACTTAGTTAGTTACTTAGAATTGGTCCTAGACTAGAGACAACATGTCATGTATTTATATGTAAATGTATTTTAATTTAAATTTTAAAAATTACTTTAATTAGGCCTAACACTAACAGAATCATCGTTCATTATATGTGACACAATTGTTTATAACAATTATTGCAAGCTCAACATGTTCAGTTTATTTACACAATTAAAAAAAAAATACAAACAACACATTTGAAATTTTCATTTGAAATTGAATGTCAACAATCAACAACATACGATACAATAATGGAATAACAATAATTAATAATGAGTAAAGTCGTAAAGTAAAATTTAGGGCCTACCTCTGATTTAGTGGCCGCACTCTAACAGCAACTTTGACCGACGTCATTTTTAAGGGCCAGTTACACTCTACTGTGTATCCAAGACCTGACTAGATTGAATATAATCTCATGCTAAGATTTTAAATGGATTGCAAAATTTTTAAACGTAATATTTACTGCATCTCAAATTTTCCTTATGTCGATATCACAACGCCATTATTGTTCAGTGTTATGACATGTGACCATTCTATAAAAAGTAACTGTACGGTGTCCACATTTTTAAATACCGCTAACATTATTTTTAGCCTTGTATTTACTTGGTTTGGGAAGAATATTTTTTCATTTACTTTACTTTTGAAAAAGACTTAAAACTTAAATTTAAGCCATCTTAAATTTAATACAGCTCATCAGCTCATCATTTAATACATCACGCAACTATAGATTTTTAACCCTTAATTTTTTTAAAATGATAATTACCGTAAATGCTTATTCATAATCATATTCTTCAACTTCATACTGATACTATGAATTTTATGAATGAGTCTGATTCTGTGTACAAATTTATAACAAGTACTAGTAACAATACTTAATCCCATAAGGGATTAATAATAATATTATCTTCAAAGTTTAAGTTTTAAATAGATTTGTATATAATTTAACACTGCCGACTGCAGGAAAAAGTATGTATGTGCAAATCCCTTAATTTATAGCCCACATCTCAATGGCGCTAGCAGCAAAACACGATCTCTCTATGACTTAGCGTTTGAGTCCAGCAACGATCTGTTGTGTTCTGACTTTCCCCACAAACTAATCCGATGTGGGTTGTTGTTTTTGTTTTTATAATGTTTTGTTTTATACTTGATATTGTAATTCACGATATGATGTCAATAATCTCTTTTCTTTTTTTTTCTCTCCACATTTAAACACTGATAGTTGTGTACAATTTTTTTTATTTCACCTACTATTATGCTCGAATCTCCTCAACCTTCCTAAAAAAATTAATTGAAATTATCATCTGGTATTGGCAATTGAAGAAGAGCTACCCGTGTCCCTAAACTGGCCACTCTCTTGATGGTGAATTATCTGAAAGTGAAACTTTAATTGAAATAACAGTGCTGCAAAGGCAAATGAATACAAAAGATATTCATCTAGAGTCTAGAAGTGAAGAGTCTAGACGAAGCCAAAGTCGCCAAAGATTTTTAAATATTTGAAGTTTTGACATTCATAGCTGAATGGGGCTGTCTAGAATCTTGAGTTTTACCGTGGAATAGTCCAGGCTTTCTGGTCTTGTGATTTTTTTATGGATCAAGTGAAGATTTTCGTTTTAATGAAGTGATTGACATTTTCGCTTCTTTGAAGGCCAGGAAAGGAAATATTTATCTGAAAATGTTTGAATAAATTTTTTTTGATGTTTTTCTTTTTTAAAGCTCCGTTAAATCAAATCTATATTTTCTTCTTATTTTTTTTGTCCCTAGTGCCTTATAAAATTATATGTTATTAATGTAACCAGATATACTCTTAGTTACTAATTTCCTATCAGTATAGTATTCGGGGGTGCAAGATAAGTCAGGTTCTCATACTATCGCTCCAAGGTCAAGCGCATGAAGACCTCGACTGTGCAACTTGATATAGCCAAAGGCCCAATAGAAAGTTGCTTTTATTCCAAAAAAATAGTTTAAGTTGTACCACAAATAAAAATATATTTAAAATCCATTTGTTTTAAAATCCAAATAAGTAAAAATTAAAAAAAAAACTTTTTCAAACCTATTATGCTCAAGGCCAATCACTCACAAATATGCGAAGTAAAAAAAAATGAAGATCTAAATATGAATGAACACCCAACATTTAAAATGGTTTAAAAAAACAAAAAACTTTCAGCACATTTTGTTTAAAAATAAAAAAAATTCTTTATTTGGATATCAATGTCAGGGAGACTTGAGGATTATGGCCTCCCCGGGTGCAGGCAGGCATGAAGAGTGGGTTTTCTCATTTCCCGGGCTTTTATTTATCTCTAGGAGAAAGAGAATAGAGTTTTCCTCATCCCAACATTTCCATGGAAATCCCGGGATAAATTAATGTAATTAAAATATATCATAAACTAAATTCAACTACATAAGGGTTGACTTTTATAGCTTTTTAATTGCATGAATTATTAATGAATAAAACAATTTTAACTAGCAATGGATAACTAGGTAATAATGCAAAGCAAAAGTCGGCTTTAACCACCTTTAGAAGAAAAAAACAACAAAACGCTATATGAATTTGGCATTATTTTGTCTAGTTAAAGTCTAGTTTCGAATCCGTTACTAAATACTTACTCGAATTTTTGTTCTAACAACTTGTAACAAGGGGTTCCTTTCAAATAAAGATTTAAAAATTGGAATGATAATTAATGTATCTTTATTTAGATATTACTAATGTTGATTTTGGAAGAGAAAAATAATACAATATAATATAAAGTATTAAGATGGTCGTTTGACACATGAAGTTTTGGGATATTCAAGTTACTAGGGCACAGAGACCCAGCCCATGAGAGGTGACCTCAAATAGGGCTGTGAAGAGATTTCTGTGAGGTTGCCTGCTGAAACAATAGATGGGGGGAAAGTGGGGTGGGGGGGGGGCTTAGCTTATATATGAATGAGGTCGTGAGTTGTGACTAGGAAACGCTTGAGCTAGAGCTACAGGGCGTAGTAATTCATTATGTATGAATTAAGTAATTTTATTTAAACTAAAAATAAAAAATCATTTNCCCTCTCTCTGTCTCTCTCTCTGTCTCTCTCTCTCTCTCCTTATATGTGTGTATATATACATATATATATATATATATATATATATATATATATATATATATATATATATATAAGTTCTGACTCCCTTATTAATGCACAATTATGACTGTTTAAATGAGGAGTGAGTGAGAGTATTGACCACAAAATTCTGTCCCTGGCGTACAGCTGTATGGAAGGCTCCGCATCTGATTATCTATAAGAACTAACTAATTTCCAAACATGTATCCTTAAAGAACCTGCACTCTTTATCACAGTCCATACTGAGAGTTCCTAGTGTGAATGGACACAGAAATAAGTCATACGGAATTCGCTCTTTTGAAGTAATAGCGCCAAAATTTTGGAATAGTTTCCCTCACGTTTTGAGGGAAATTAAAAATCATTTAAGAGATATGAAAGACATTTTTATTTAAATAGATTTTATGACTTCATAGCGCTTTGAGCATGCTAGAATAGCATGGATATAACTGATTTATAAGTAACCAATCATCATCATCAATGTCAATTTTTGAAAGTTAGCCTACATTGTTGATGTGAAGTAGGCATCTTGTAAGCTAGGATTTTTGGGAAATGCTGTCTCGTGTGTGTTGGTGCTTTCGTGTTTGACGATATCTATAACTAAAAACTAAATATTTTACAGAAGTGATAAATGGTAGGCTAGTTAGATAATTTTAAATCTTTAGGAATAAAGTAACATTGTAAATATTGTAAATAGCAGAACATTTTCAATTCCGACATTTTTTAGGCACTACATTATGAATTATGTGCAATTTAATCTTGAAATTGATATAAAAATGAACATTCTTAAGAAATTCCACTGAAATGACTGCACTCTACATTTTCTTACCTTTTTAATGGTAAACTAAATATTCGTAGCTACCGCGATATTTTAAATATAACAATTGTGTATTTGTGTTTTAACTATTTCTAGCTATTTAATTGTGCATTAGCAATAATGAATTTGCGTCTAATTTGCATCTTAATCAAATGGCTTGCCATGTTGACTTTTCTTTTTAAAAAAAGAACTAAATTGAAATTATTATATTTTATAACTACAATGTTCGAGGAATTTACACGATTAAAAGGATAGTTATATTGGTATAATTACATGTATATGCACCGTAGCAACACTGAACCCGGAAACAATTATTAAAATTGCGCGAAACGCTAAGGAACACTCAAATCCACGAAAGAAAAACTTTTAACTAGTTATTATAAGGAAGATTTTTGGGGATCAACAACAAATACGGCCTTATAAGAAACTATAAGATGTCAAGTGTTTCCGCAGAGGAGATTTCAGACGAATTCGATGTATTTGGAGCGGAGGTTAATGATGAACAACTATTAAAATGTGAGTGGTCTTGTACTTTGTTGTGATGTGTCCAATGTCCAGGACCAATGTGTGTAGTCTGTACTACTTTGACTTGATCATTGATAGCAGAGAACTGTGATGGCGCTTGACAGCGTGAAACGCCTATTTATATGCCTTCAACTACTATCCCTAAAAAAACTAAAACCTATACTAACTCCTTGTCACTTCGGTAAAGCAAGGGAGTATACTTCCATTTTTTTGAAATGGGCCTTGGGCCCAGAAGAATACACATTTTTAATTTTTGGACATTGGTGCTTTTCCATTAATAAAAGTAGGTACTTTGATTACAAAATTAAAACTTTTTGTAAAAATAAACCAATGGCATAGTTGAATAAAGCTAGTTTTTTAAAGAATTATAACACCAAAATCAAAATTTTAGCTGTTGTAGTTATGAATTTTTAAAGTACGACTTAATTTGTCCTTTTTTAATATTAACATGGACGGCATCTCCATTTTCTGGAACCCAATTCCGCTGTTCGCGTCACGCGTTATATAAGTCTTGTTTTAATGATCATTTTATTTTCAGAACTAATGCTGTATTAAAAAAATAAGTTAAATAATGTTAAAAATTTATAGATAAATTGTAGCTTATCTAACTATGCACTATTTGTATCAGTAAATTTAATATAATGTATTAAATATGGCTTTTCTGTTTACCAAATCTTCAGCGTCCATTATACCGGTAATTGCTATATAGTCTATATAAGGCAACGCACCCCCTAAAATGTTGTTTGGTATCTACTAATTTTGAACTTTCAACTTTGGCACATGACTAATTAACTAAAGCTTTCCCTGACCAATGTTGTTAATAGTAATAGTTTTTGCACATGGCTAACTCTTATGAATGAAACTTGAGGTAGTCGGTAGTACTACGGCATAGCATTATGCAAATGGCTGTGGTTTCCCATGACTTTTTGCACACTGTCAATTCTGATCGCTAACAATATGAACTCTACCGGATTTTTAAAGCTCAAATTTAAAAATTCTAGTTTAAATGTTTTCAAAATGCATTCTGAAACACAAGTTATCAAATATTTTGATGTATATAGAGATAATAATGAATATTTCCTAAGCTAAGTATCTGCGTTTTCCGCCATTTAAAAGGGGGTGGGATCACTAATCCAAAATGGCCTGTGCGACCTTTGCATAATGAGATCAACGTTGAGGAGAATTGTTAAAATGTTTCATGAGTTATCTCAATGAAATTTTGCACACGTGTACTTCAACAAATTATGCAGGCCTACTTTTAATATGAAAAACCTACTTTGAATATTTAGACAGAATTTTTTAATGCGAAGATGCCTTATATTGACACACAATTTTCCTCACTTAAAGTTGAGATAAAGAACAAATTAACTCAATGGGAATGTAGTTCAACATTTCTCCTAACGTTAATGGGCAGAGTCAAACCTTAATTATGGGCCAAAATGACTCCTAGTTTATTCAAATTACATGCACATGAAAAAATTAAAAACTCGGATCCTACTGCGCCGATGGCCATTTCCGATACAAATTTACTAGGAGTGTCCCTTGCTTCGGTGAAGTATCTAATAAAAGGAGTATAAAAGGATTATTTTTTCATAAAATTCTGGTATCCTTCCACATGTTCACAATGAAGGATATCGTGACCTACATTTCAATGTACTGAGTACTGTTTTGCCTTTTAGTTTTAGAAATTCAAAGGTGTATGTAAGGCATCTTTCCCTCAAAATTTTTTGAAGAAATTAGAAGATCCTTTGATATTTAATTCTGATGAAAATTATATATTGATATAATTGTATGCCAATTCTCATTGAATTAGGCCATGTCTGATGTTCGTTATGCTTGTCCCAGTAACCTGCATTACCATAAGGTCAGCCTAATTTTGACCATGGCGATGGCGGAAGATGCAGATTAGGGGTGTGCCGGATCCGTTTTTTCCAACCGGATCCGGATTTTCTTATGCGAAATCCGCCGGATCCGGATTCCGGTTTCTCCCGGATTCCGGATTTTGGTACTATTGGTAGATACTTCGGTAAGTCAAGGTGGACTACTACTTTTTGTGTATGGGAATTCGCAATCGGCGCCAAAAAATCCGAGTTTTTAATTTTCCGATGTGTGTGTCTATTTATTATTAAATTAGTACTTTCGATATATATTTGAGTTCCGTTCCATTTGGATAAGTGTCTTACGAGAGACGCCATGTTTCTACGCGTTCGCAGCAGGTTATGCAGCTCGCTCAACCTAATTTCGCCATGGGGTTGGCCACGCCCCCCTTTTTAATGGCGGAAGTTGACGATACTTAGGAAATATTAATTTATTATCACTATTTACATCAAAATAATTGATAACTTGTGTTTCAGAATGCATTTAAAGACATTTAAACTGGAATGTTTTAATTTGAGCTTTAACAACCCGGTAGAATCCATATTATAAATGATCAGAATTTACCGTGTGCAACACGTTGTCATTGGCAACCATTCACAGCCACTTGCATAACTGTATCGTAGTACTACCTCAGAGTTTCATTCATAAGAGTTTGCCGTGTGCAAAAACTATTAAACCATTGGTCAGGGAAAGCTTTAATTAATTATTCATGTGCCAAAGTTGAAAGTTTAAACTAAGTCTAAACAGTATTTTAGTGATAAGGCAGGGAATGCGTTGCCTTATATAAACTATATAGTCATTGCGCATGACGGGATTGGTGGAATGAGATCACAGAATGTGGAGATGCAGTCCATGTTAAAAAATGACAAACCAAGTCGTACTTTAAAAATTCATAACTTTAAAACTACAACAGCTAAAAATATGATTTTGGTGTTATAATTCTTTAAAAAATTACATCTTTTCAACTATGCCATTGGTTTATTTTTACAAAAAGTTTAAATTTTCTTATCAAAGTCCCTACACTATTGGCCACTATTAGCGGTGCTGACTCTAGCCTCTGGTATGTACGGAATATTAAACATTAAACAAGCTCAACGCTCGAAACAATCGATTAATGTATCGTGATCGTGTGAAATTCGGGAAAGAGAATTACTTTTATTTCAGATTATGATCCGGTGAGTCACAAAATCTGGCAAATTCCGAAATCCGGTATATTCCGGAATCCGGTTGTTCCGGATACATGTAAATCCGGCGGAACCGGATTTCACCGGATAGTGCAAAATCCGGCGGAACCGGATTCCGGACCGGGGTCCGGCACACCCCTAATGCAGATACTTTGAAATATTTAATTATTACCTCTATTTACATCAAAATATTTGATAACTTGTGTTTTAGAATAAACCTAAAAGTAATTTAAACAGATATGTTTTAATTTTAGGTTTAAAAACCCTGTAGAGCCCATATTATAAGTTATCATAATTTTGCAGTATGCAAAACATCATGGGCAGCCTTTCACAATCCTTTGCATAATGGCTGTGCTGTACTAGTAGTACTATCTCAGAGTTTCATTCATAAGAATTTGCTGTGTGCAAAAACTCTTAAACCATTGGTCAGGGAACGTTTCAATTAATTAGTCAAGTGGCAAAGTTGAAAGTTCAAAATAAGTAGTCCCTAAACTGTATTTTAGTAATAAGGGGATGCACTGCCTTAAATAGACTATATAGACTATTAGTACATTCCGGTGTAATGGACGTCATATAGTAATATATTATTTTAAATTTACTGATATACATAGTGCATAGTTAGATAAGTTACAATGTATTTATAATTGCATAACATTATTAAAATTATTCTTTAATACAGCATTAATTCTGAAGATAAAGTTGTATAAAATTATCATTAAAACAAGACTTATTTCGCAAGACCCGATCAGCTGAATGGGGTCACAAAATGTGGAGGTTTCGTCCATGTTAAAAAAGGACAAACATTACCATTATGCGCTTTTTTTTTTTTTTTTTAAAGGCTTTTGGAACCTAAAGTTTTGTGGTTACTGTAGTAACCCATACCATTTTAACTAAATATTGCTGATGTGTAGGGGTGTGCCGGATCCGTTTTTTCCAACCGGATCCGGATTTTCTTATGCGAAATCCGCCGGATTCCGGAATAATCCGGATTCCGGTTTCTCCAGGATTCCGGATTTTGGTACTATTGGTAGATACTTCGGTAAGTCAAGGTGGACTACTACTTTTTGTGTATGGGAATTCGCAATCGGCGCCAAAAAATCCGAGTTTTTAATTTTCCGATGTGTGTGTCTATTTATTATTAAATTAGTACTTTCGATATATATTTGAGTTCCGTTCCATTTGGATAAGTGTCTTACGAGAGACGCCATGTTTCTACGCGTTCGCAGCAGGTCATGCAGCTCGCTCAACCTAATTTCGCCATGGGGTTGGCCACGCCCCCCTTTTTAATGGCGGAAGTTGACGATACTTAGGAAATATTAATATATTATCACTATTTACATCAAAATAATTGATAACTTGTGTTTCAGAATGCATTTAAAGACATTTAAACTGGAATGTTTTAATTTGAGCTTTAACAACCCGGTAGAATCCATATTATAAATGATCAGAATTTACCGTGTGCAACACGTTGTCATTGGCAACCATTCACAGCCACTTGCATAACTGTATCGTAGTACTACCTCAGAGTTTCATTCATAAGAGTTTGCCGTGTGCAAAAACTATTAAACCATTGGTCAGGGAAAGCTTTAATTAATTATTCATGTGCCAAAGTTGAAAGTTTAAACTAAGTCTAAACAGTGATTTTAGTGATAAGGCAGGGAATGCGTTGCCTTATATAAACTATCTAGTCATTGCGTATGACGGGATTGGCGGAATGAGATCACAGAATGTGGAGATGCAGTCCATGTTAAAAAATGACAAACCAAGTCGTACTTTAAAAATTCATAACTTTAAAACTACAACAGCTAAAAATATGATTTTGGTGTTATAATTCTTTAAAACATTACATCTTTTCAACTATGCCATTGGTTTATTTTTACAAAAAGTTTAAATTTTCTTATCAAAGTCCCTACACTATTGGCCACTATTAGTGGTGCTGACTCTAGCCTCTGGTATGTTCGGAATATTAAACATTAAACAAGCTCAACGCTCGAAACAATCGATTAATGTATCGTGATCGTGTGGAATTAGGGAAAGAGAATTACTTTTATTTCAGATTATGATCCGGTGAGTCACAAAATCTGGCAAATTCCGAAATCCGGTATATTCCGGATTCCGGTTGTTCCGGATACATGTAAATCCGGCGGAACTGGATTTCACCGGATAGTGCAAAATCCGGCGGAACCGGATTCCGGACCGGATTCCGGCACACCCCTACTGATGTGCATTTTTAGTTTAAGGAACAGAAAAGCTTATAACACAGAAAAGTAGTAAGAAGATATCAATCAAGAATTGACAGGGAAAAAACCCAGACAAAAGCCATAGTTCTGGAAAGCCGCCTAGACACAGGCCTAAAAAGAGGACCCTACTTTACACTAAACCTTCCTAATTACTAAACTTTTAATTTTCTTAATTTCAGTACAAGAGATGTGTAGATCCTACAACTTAGATGCCATCAGCATTGTTAATCACTGGATGGCATTTTCCTCTTCTAGAAAGATAGGCCTAACTTTAGAAAGTCTCCAGATGTTTGACAGAGAGGTAACTATTTAATCAACATTTCAAATGTTGGTCATTAAATTAAGAGGTAACTATTAAATCCACAGTCAACAGTTGTTTGTCATCACATTCACATATTAAGATTCAAATGAAGAGCAATAGATCTTTGATATTATTTGCCCCACCCAATGTTTAGCATAAACGTTAGACCTACACACATTGTGTTTCCCAACCTTTTGTGCCCATGACCTCCTTAAAAGTTTGAATGTCATCCCTGCTCCCTAATAAGTGGTAGAGTTTTAATTTAAAAAAGACGTGTTGAAGCAATGCTTCTTTAAGAAAGATTGAATTTCAATTTTGGCTCCCGGTTTAGAATAAAACTTAGCAGTCTACACTAAGTGAAATATTAGACTATTATGCTATCAATAAATGACAATGATAATAAAGGAGACTGCAATAAAATTCGGTAAAAGAAACTGTAAAATAAATGGGCCTAAATGACAATATATAACAAACAATACTTGAACTTAAGTTTTGAAAGTCTTTGTCTGCGATTTTGTATGACAATATTACAACTATTATTTTGTAGTGGCTTCCAAAAAAGCTGTTGGGATCGCAACAAAAAACACCTCAGCCGAAAAGAACCAAACTGTTGAATAAAGATACTCTTGGCAGGTAAGTGGAATTTGGTGGAAACAAGTTACATGAAGCTTGAAATAAAGTTCTTTAAAAAAATTAAAATACATCTTATGTCTTATTGTATTTTCATCATCAAAATAGATTAAACCTCAATCCCTCTTTCCTTCAGTACTTTCTTTTCCATTTTATAGCATTTTAGATGATCAATTGGATGTTGTGGGATCATATGCCACCCCAGAAGACAAGGTAGAGTTTATTTTAAATTTGTAGTTTAGTATGCGGTATATTTATTTTATTATATTGAAAGAGTTGTCGATATAATTAATGTTGTCACTTTTCAGTCATAAATTATAATTTGAAAAAAATATGCAAGAGATATTTTCTAATGTTAATGATTTAATATTTTAACGAATCATACAATTTTATTTTTGTTTTGTTTAAGAGACAAATAGCACAGTCGAAACGACAGCTGACACCAGAAGACATAAATAATTCCAATAAGAGGTTTGTGGGTTACAACAGAAGTCCATCTGTCAAGTCTGTATTTTCACCTACTGTCAAGTCGTCGGCAGGGTTGGTATTCTTAAATTTAAACTTGTTATTTGTATTTATAGTACATGTGCATATATGGTCTGAACATTTCCATTCAAGAAAATCCATAAGAAAACCATTTTAGTTAAAATTCTTGTTTGTTACATCATGGGTAAGGCATTTCAGGGTAAGGCTTTCCAGTGTAAGGCATGGCATAAATGCATTTTTTCATATATTTGCTATATCATCAGATAATTATGTACACAATTTAAAATACAATTTCTAAGCATTATGAAAATTTATTTGTTTAAATTTTTTTATTTTAAGTTCCACTCCATCTGGCAAGTTCTCTTCGAGGTCAAATGCTGGAGATATTGTTCAAAAGTTTGGCAACACTAATGTGTCATCATGGAAGGGAGATAATCATGGAGTCAGTGTTGATTCATTTGGCTCAGTTCCTATGGTTACCTCACAGATAAAATATATGTTTCAAAAGATGTCAGAGAAAGGATATGGTAAGTATTCTGTTTTTTTTAAATAAAATAAAATCTCATGTTGTCTAAATGGTGGTGTTTGTTCAGAGACAGTAGTGAGTTTGAAATACAACAGGTTTTTTCTTCTATATTTTGTTCTTGATCGAACCTTTTAAATTTAATTCTTGTCACTTTAACCCATTCAAACAAGGCCATTTAAAAATGTTACCAAATAAATTCCAGTCAACTGAAATAACTCCACGTAAGTTGTTTCAGAAAATAAATTTAAAACAAACTCTTTCAAACTACATGAGATGGAGTCAATTTCATTAATAGATGATAGCATTGTGAGTGATATTAAATTATTTTTCAAAGCTTCGGTTGTTTAAAACAACAAGGTCCTCTTCTACACATGAACACAGTTGACATAAATTAAATTATGAATAATCCCTGCACAATCAATATAATGAAGAAATATTTGGCATAGAGCTCCCTTGGTCTTGTATCCTGTAGATTTTCATATCAATAGCGTAGATTCTGCTTTCAGAATAGTAAAGTGGCTGTTGCCTTTCTGGGGTATTGGTTAAACATTGAATAGGTTAAATGAGTGTTTTTTTTTTAAAGAAATGAATATATATATATATCAGAGGTACCGAACCCCACCTTGTTCATATGCGCATTCACCAAACCCTTCTTAATAGGAAAAATAAAATATGATATTTTTTTTTTTGGACCTGTGCCGAACCCCTGAGACTGACTCACCGAACCCCTGGGGTTGATCCAACCCAGGTATAAGAACCACTGATATGTAGAGAGAAAAAAATCAAAATATTTTATTTCTAAAAAAAGCTACCAAGATTAATTATTCTTTTCATTAATTTAATTAAAGTCAATTTTTGCATGTCCACAAATTTATTGAACCAGAAAATTTAAAATAATTCCAGTTACATTATGAACTCTTTTTCTAGTGTTGAATGATATCATCCAGGACATGTCAACAATCTTGCAAAATGCTCATGGAATTGAAGAATTTACTCATGTAGCTCTACCATCCCAGGTCAGTGTTTACACCAAGGATACCATAATTATTACGCTTAACACCACTGTTTTTCTGTTGTTGTTTTTTGGTCTGTTTGCGTTCTGTCTTTGTTATTAGCAATAAATTTTATGTTACTGTCTTGTTTTAATGTGTTTTCATTGGTTCACTAGTCTCCTTGTGAAGTTAATATGGTTTTTTTGGTTCTGTCTTATGCCTGGATTAGAATTTGATTAAGACAAGTAATCTCTGGCTTATTAATACAATGACACAGAGAGGTCTCATCTATTAATGAAATTGACTTCATCTCATTTTTTACTTCATTTGCAAAAAATGTTTCCCTTCAGTTTGGTTAGTCTTCATACAAATGTTTATAATTTTCAGGAATCAGTTACTGTTGCTGGTAGAGTATGTTGTGACAGTATTGGTCGGCTGAACAGTCAGTCAGTATTGCTGGAAGGCTCAAGAGAAACATCATCTGGGCAGTGTATTAGTCTTGACCTCTCTGAATTGTTACACTACAGTCTCTTCCCTGGACAAGTAGGTATTCATATAAACTTAAGTCAATATGACATCAATAATATTCCCCGTACAAGTTAGTTTAAATCAGATTACTTCTACAGATATCTATAATATCAATGTTTTATCACAATTTCTTTATCTTCATCAGTTTTTTCATGTAAATATAAAAATTAAACTGCAATTTGAACAGTTCATTGACAGTTATACTGCAATAGATTAAATGTATATACCTTAAGTCTGTTTTTTCTTCCACCATTCATTTGGAATTTTAAATTTTTTTGACCATGTATATTGGGTGATTGATCTAACATAAATGTTTAAAAAATATTAATTAGTTTTGCTACTAACGCTTTTTCAGGATTAGAGCACGAAAAAAGTAATGGCACCTTTCTAAGCCAACAAGTCTAAATATGTTTTCATATTTGTTGCCTTACAATAATCTTGTTGATTTACTTAAATTAATTTCGCATATTTACTTTCAGGTTATAGCATGTGAAGGTGTGAACAACACTGGCACAAAGTTTGCAGTTAAAAATATTTTTTCTGTAAGTTCAAATTTTTTAAAAATTAGATATTAAAAATAGATTTTTAAAATAGTTTAAAGTTTGGTATTTGAGCTAGATAATATCAATTTTTACATGAAACAAGTTAAATGGGATCTTTTGGTTTCTATAATATAAAGATATGCTCTAGATGTAAATATTATTAAAATTAAATTTGAAATTTTTAACTTATTGTAAAAAATTCATTTCTGTCGTAATGAGATAATGAATAGCCAGTATTGTTTGCTTTGCATTCGTTTTGATTACCTTAATATTCTCATTTAATCGTTCATCTCAGAGTGTAGCTTTGCCATTTCCAGGAAAAAATAGTAAACTGACAGGAAGTAAGTAATTTTATAACAGTTTATTACAAAATACCCTAAGGTAGCTTAGTACTTTTTAAATTTTCTGTAAATTATTGAATGCTCAAAAAGTTTATAACATTCACCAAGATAGAGGAGTTGCAAGAATTAATTAGAAAGTATCTTTATTTAATTTCAGCTGGGAAAATACGAATGATCATAGGTGTTGGACCATTCACACCTAGTGATGCACTAGATTACTCTCCCTTAGCTGAGCTTTTAAAAACTATCACCCGAGATCAACCAGACATCTGTATACTTGTAAGTTATGTAAATTTTATTTTATATTCTTCTGTAACAAATAAATTATTTTAAATCTGACAATGTAATGGTCAATTTTGCTGGCCGAGGATTTTATGACCTGGATTTACTTTTTCCTAAATCTCACACGGGTAAACACAATTACAATATACTGTATTCATTTTAAATTTTATTAAAAATTATTATTTTTCAGATGGGTCCTTTTGTAGATAGCAAACATGTCATGATAAATGTAAGTTTCATCTGTTTTATTTTCAGTATTTGTTAAATGAAATAGTTTCAGTGAATTTTTACATTTATATTATTTATACATTTTCAAAAAGAAATTATTCTTTCTTGAATGCAACTCAGTGACCTCAACCATCGATGTTTGCAAGTTTCTTTGTTTATCATTTTAAGTTGACATTTTTTATTATATTTTAAAAGCATTTTCTGTTTTTTGTGTGTACCCGATATATAGAATGGTGAACTGTTGGACTCATTTCAAGACTTGTTCATAAAACAGATGGAAGAAATAGGCAGGGCTACAAAAGAGTAAGTACTTTCTTAACTTATTATTAGATTTTAAAATATTTCTGGTTGATGAACCTGGCTATAGATTAATCACAGATATGTAAAAAGATATACAACTAAATGTTTTTAAAATTTGTCAAACTTTATTAAAATCTGCCATTGCTCCTGAATATATAAACCTAGTGTAACTTTTTTCTATTCAAATTTATGTTCTAAAGCAAACATATTGATTCTCTTAAAAGTTCAGGTTGTCAAGTAGTTATAGTCTCATCATATCGTGATGTGCACCACTACCACAGTGTCTATCCACAACCTCCATATCACATACCTGAATATAACCCTGATGGATCTAAGGTAACTTCTTATCAATCACATTTTTTTTTACATTTCTGTATGTGAAACAAAAAAAAAGTCAAAAGGTACAGTTCATCTCTAATTGAAGGAGACCCAGCGTCTTTTACAGACAATAAGTACTTTTGTTTGAAAAGCACATTTGTCCATGCCTTTAGGTTCCTAGGCTTTATATTTTTGAGTTTATCATGTAGAAAAAGGACTTAAGTATATTTATAAATGGTGATATAAAAGAACAGTGGAAATATGTTGAATATTCATTAGGGCATTCCAAAATTTTCAGGGGAAAATCTGATCTGGCCCTTATGCCTCAGTCGTGTTACGTCCAAATCCAGACGTAAACAGCACATCAAATTCAACATTGCCTAGTGAATGTAACTCTTTGTATTAAGGAGCTCCAAAGAGTCTTTTTATAATCAGGATTAGTGTTTTAATCTATTTTTTAATGGAGATTTTGTGACTGTGCGCTTGATTTTATGCTCCTTTTGATTTTTTAATAATAGGGGTTTTTTGACAGTAAATCTACTTTTAAAAATGGCATTTGTGTTAATAGAATAGTTTCAAGCTGTCAGTGCTTCTGCTATAAGTGTTTACAGTGATGAATTATATGCAGAAATAGATAATGGAAATGAAAGTGATGTTGATATTTAATTATTTCAACATCTTGATATCCCTTATGAGCCAGAAAATGATATATGTACTAGTCTGACCAATTAACATAGATATGGAAGAATTTGTTGCTCATTGGTCATAATGTAGACTTATTATTGCATTGGCTCATTCATCCCTGAGACTTAATATGAGGAGTTGGCAATGCAGACTAACGAACTCGACCAGGCCATCCAAAACATGGGTTGACGCAACCGCGAATGCCATGAAATAATTTTTTCTTTTTACATAAACGGGGTGTTCATTAGCTACCATATATAAACACTATTGGTCAAGTAATGGGCTGGTAGATGATCAAGCATTAACAATGGTGCAATTTGAATAAATTCTTTAAGTTCCCCAAATTATGAAAAAAAAGAGTAATTTTCCTTTGTTTGATGCCAAGGTAATTTCTTATGAACGTTACTCGCATGGCACCGAGAGGGTTAATGCACAATTATTTTTTAAAATTATAAATATATTTGAACTGACTGGAACTTCGCCTCTTTTGCTTGTCTATCATTAATATATATAGTATAGTTTGCATTTATTTAAAAGTCAATAAAAGGAAATTAATGGAACTAAATATATTTTTTTGTTTGCTCCACAGCGGAGCCATGTAGAGATAGATTTAACCAAACACTTAAAGTTTGTTTCTGACCCATCCACTTTATGTGTCAATGGCGTAGTGATTGGATTGACTTCCACTGACATACTTTTACATCTCTCCAAATCAGAAATTTCTGTGTAGGTTTCCTGGTATTCCTGGTACTTAGCAAAACTAACTAATTCTTCTTATTTAAAACATGAAGATCATAATGTTTAATTGAAGCATTGTTTTGGAACATGTTTCTGTGAGAATTATTTTCATTTGCATCTATGAATTAGAAATAAAAGCCCATGAACTGCAAAATTATGATCAATAAGAGTGACAGAACTTGGGCTCGTTGAAAGAATATATTCTGCTCTTTCTTGAACCAAGTCAATGTTCTTATGTTAAAGGCTCCTTATAACATTAATTTTATCTTCTCCTATTTAAATTCTTACAGAGGTCAACAGGGCAAGTTGGATCGATTGGGACGTTTAGCCCAGCATGTCCTGCACCAACACAGGTCCTTTTTCTTCTAACATACTGCATTTTGTGTTGCTTTTTAAAAACTATTTCTTTACATTTTGGATTTTTTATGACATCGGCTGTAGCTGAACTGGTTAGAGAATTACTTTGATAACAGGATTCAAATCTCACATCAAGTTGGCTGTTGCCAACTGATTTGTTGGTATTGAGTTTTAAAAAATTATTAATCATAGTTTACCCACTTCCCAAAAAATAGCTATGCTACCTTTCTTGGGTAATCATGAGTTTCACTGTGCCATGTTTCCTTAACTTATAGCTGGTCATTATCCTATTAAAAAATCAAAGCTCCAACCTTATTGGTCAGGATTTAGACAATTTCACCATTACTTCATATGGCTGGATAAAATGAAGCTATAAAATTTACTAATGAAGCAAAGGTTTCTGCTATCTATTTGTGTTCAACTTCTCTGTCTTGACAATTTTTCAGCTACTACCCCCTCTATCCTCCCGCTGAGGATGTTAATATTGACTATGAACTCTGGGAAGCTCATGCCAAACTTGTCGTCACACCACATATATTGATCTTACCATCAGACCTCAAGGCATTCATTAAGGTAACTTGAAAATTTGTTATTAATCTACCATAACGCAATTTTTCCTTACAATCAGATTAATGCTGTAAATGAGATGACTGCGCGCCTATTTCTTTTTTTATCATCATTTTATCTATGGATTTTCATTTACATAACTTGGTAAATGGGTGCATACTGACATATGCCTCATTTTGATTATTTACTTGTTGAAATGCTTATGAAAAATAGTATCTATCTCAAAAGTTAATTTCATTATTTCAAATAAAGTTTAAAAATCTACCCCGTTACACAAATGCTTAAAAATTCTGCTTTACATTTCATCATTTCAGTGTTTCTCTCATTACACATAAAAGCATTAACAGTTTTTTATTTTGTTGTCTATTTCAAGGACATTGATGGATGCTGCTGTGTGAATCCAGGCCGGCTGACCACTGGAACTGTTGGCGGAACCTTTGCTCAGATTGAAATAGACACTGACTTGATAACAGAATTACCCCTACCATCGTCTGCTTGTGTTGGTCAAATTGTTCGAGTTTGAGAGGTTGTTATTCTGTTTTACCAACAAAACGTGATACAAGTGAAATTCATGGATGCAAAAGAAAAATCGGACTTGGCTTCTGTTTTAAGAAGAGACCTTTCTTTTATACAAACACTCTTATTTAGAATTATCTAATTACAAGAGGGTTGTACTGCGATAAAGTAGATAAATGAGACATAATATGTGTAAATAAAATAACTATTTTGAGCTTTAATTTTAATTTGACAATGGGACCATTCTTATCCTTTTCCTTCATTTTTTAATTAAAGGAATAATATAAATTTTTATGTGATTAAAATTTTAATTTATATTTACCGTTTATTAATGTTTTTTGTTGTCCTGATGAAGGCATTAGCCTGAAAAGTTTGAAATTGTAATTTGTCTAATTGTCATGAAAGGTTAACCCTTTACAGTCCAAACCTATTCAGCCTTGTCTACTCCCAGCGCCCAAGCAAAGGGACATAACTCCATTTTAAATGAAGGTTCTTTATCTAATTAATTTACAGAAAATAAACTAGAAGCAACAAAATAAAATAAAAACTACCTAAATACAAAGAAATGATTAAAGCAAAAGTTAAACCTAAAAATAGTTTCAGAGACCCTCCCACTCATGAAATAGTGAAGCTTCATTAGGCCTAAGTTCTTTCAAAAGTGTATCCAAGGCTTAGATAGCCATTTTTTACAGCGAAAAAATCGCGACTTTTAAAAAAATCTTAGAAAATCAGCCCCTAAACACACCGCGGTCAAACTAGTATCGAAATAAATGCCGACGAGGCTTTCTTCCGGTAGAACTATAAATAGTAATGCGCAATGGATTTCCGCTGTGCTAAGAACGAAAGTAAACACCTCGAAACGGGCGGGTTCGGCCGCATCGGACTGTAGGCTTAAGGAAAAAATGCAATGGATTTCCGCTGTGCTAAGAACGAAAGTAAACACCTCGAAACGGGCGGGTTCGGCCGCATCGGACTGTAGGCTTAAGGAAAAAATCGGCGCATTTCGGGCGCATCGGACTGTAAAGGGTTAACATATATTTTATTTACAAAAATTCTTTCTGATTCTAATTAATCTTTTTTAGAAAGTGGATTCCTGGGTCATAATTTGTCATATGACATTTTTAAAAGCTGTTATTTGTATAGCACAAGCACCACATAATAAGCGCAGAGCCATTACATGACTTATATGAGGACCCCATCCACTTTTGGCTTTTGTAGCCCACTGCATTCAAAATCCAAATTGGAAAGTTAATTATTTTTTTTAAATTGGTGTAATACAGTTTACAACTTACATACATACTATAGAGAAACTTGATGTCAGAAAAGTTAAGTCAAACATTTTTTATAACTCAGAGCTAGCTAAACATAAATATAGCCATGTGACCAATTCTTCTAAATATGGTGTCATGGTTATATAAGGGAAAAAATGTAACTATAAACTATAAAGTTACAAAAGTGCTTTCATTTAATAAATATTACATTATTAAGAACTTTCAATAGAACCACTTGCACAGAAATAGATAATAAGGCAAGAGACTGCAATCAGGTTAGGTAGAGGGAAAAAGTGAATTTGAAGATGTAACAAAATAGTGAACGTCAAGGAGCCTTCTTGAGTGACTAAACAGCAGTTAGTTTACATTCCCCTTGCTGTCTTCTTGGATATTACAGTGACACTGCACAGTGTTTATTTAAATTTTTATATAGTTCTTACTGTTCGCTGAAGAAGGCTTCTTGCTGTCACGTTCATTGTTCCCAGAAGCACATGCAGATCATTCCTTGGAATGAGCACGCCATAAGTTGTAGATCTTTTAGTCTAATAGTTAAAGCTTTATCCCTATTAATAAAATAAATTGCTGGCTACAAATTGTGCTACAAAGTTAATTTCACTGACAGCATCAACCTCACATAAACAAAATTAGGAATGAAAGCAACTCAAACAATTCTAGAGAAAGAATCAGAAATTTGTTTTAACTCACTACTAGCACTTTATTGGAAATGATGATAGAAGTAAAATATTTTCAGGATTAAGTACTACCAGTCAGAAATGATTTCATGATTATGTTTAAGAGCTAATGATTTCAGGATTAAGTGCTGCTAATGACAATTTATTTTTCCCTTGAAAAAGAGAGGTTATAAGCTCAAACTGGAGACAGATCCCTACTTATCAATTGTATTAAATTAGAAACATATTTCAGGCTATCCAACATATGGTACATGTAAAATGTATGTACAGGTTGTTGTGAATTAATGTTTGTTGGCTTAATCATTTGAATTATTGAAAGGAGACCTCTTAATGATTTTATTTATTTTTTTCCAAATATTTTTAACACTAAATCTGTAATTCCTGTATGATATTAGTATAATATAACCACTGGGTGTCAGGAGGTTAGTGCTATTACTGTTAGATGCTACTGCTGCATTGATTCTAAAATTTTTACTCATGTTTGCTATTGAGTGGATGTATCTGTGGGTCCAACTAGCAACTCTATGGCTTGATTAAGGACAAAAGTACGTCATTAAAGCATATTTCTATAATTGAACTAAATGGATTTCTTGAGTTGATTTATAATGCATTGGTGTATAGTCATTGGGGTGTCTGACTAAACTTGAGCAGCAACTCATTACTGCTGCCCTACTGACTGAGGTGAGAAATTTGACCTATACAAGAAAAAACACTTATACTTTCCATAATTTCACACTCACTCTCTTCCTTATAAGTTTAAGCCATACAATGAGTTAGTAATAAGATAAGATTCTTTATTGATCCAAATAAATGGAAATGTTTTTTTATCACATTGCACCTCCGGTATTCATTTTCAGCACATAAATACATTTAAACATTACAATACATTTTACAATTTAAACAAGATGTCTTAAGTATTTCTCTAGTGTTGAAATCGGCCATAAATGAACTCCTTTAGCAAAAATGATGACTTCATTAGGGATCATTTAGAGTTGGTAACTGCTAGGGGAGCACACTTGTAGATTCTTATTCCTACATACTGGGGAACTTTAAAATAATCTTTAGTCCTAACTTAAAGAGAAAGAAATCACCCTGATCTTAGTTATCGGTGATGATGTGGGTGGGATGCAATCTCAGGTATCTGTGGTGAAATGGGTGGGATCTTAAATATCTGATGATATGGGTGAGATGTGATCTTCGATATCTTATGAAGTGGGTGGGTGGTGATTTTAGGTACCCTGTGATGAAGTGGATGGGATGTGATCTCAGGTAATTAATGATGTGGGTGGGATGTGATCATAGGTATCTGTGATGAAGAGGGTGAGATTTATCCAATTTCTTTAAAAATTGTTTTACATTTTACTTCAAATATTTCTTCAAGTGAGGGATGTTAAGGTAGTGTGATATCAATAGCTTTCTTTATTAGTCTTTTTAATTGGTGTTTGCAGTCAAATGATGCATTCCTACACCAGCTGGTAATACTGAAGTTTATCAGGCTTCCAATTGTTGCAATGTAGAGTACGTTAGCTTGTTTGTTTACACCGAAATTGTACAATTTTTAAAGATAGAAATGTCTTTGGCTGACTTTTTTAAATGCAGAATTTGGCTGTGTTCATGCCATGTCAGATTATTATTTTTAATGGTGACATCTAATACTTAAAAATCTCTTATTGGACATCCTTTGTGTACAGTACGTTACCTCCCCCTAAAAATAGATTATTTTGTAGCCAATTATGACATTAAACTTATATGTAATGTAACTGTAAGCCGTGTTGTTAATATAAAAATTATGGCACGGGTTATCTCCCTTGGCCTTAGCCTTGCCCATATATTTTTTGGTTCAGGTGAACGAAAAAAAAAATTATCACAAGTGACGCACCAATCACGGAAACACGTTCGACGTAATATATCACTGATCACTTCTGAACGTCCTTAAAATGATGTCAGTCGATTTTTTGCCCCTATCTCATTTTTTTAACAAATGTACATCCTCGCCACAAATACGTGAACCAATTCCTGCTCATTTATGTAAATATAGATGCGTGACGTCATATAAGCTAAATAATAATTTTGCATCCGATACATAGCGAGTTCATTTGTGAAAAGTATGACGATAATTGCAGAACATTGGGGTAGCATTTTTTATAGTCTGAAAATAATGAGAAAACATGGATTTCAAATATTTGTAACGCGACGACAGTTATTAGAGATTTAAATATGCTATTTAATGGACTCACACTTTTCAGAATAGTATTGCAAAATGTGTGCATACATTTTCTACACATTCTGCTGAGTCCCCTGTCCAATCCCATACGCTCCTGTACACAAAAAATGGATCAACCATAAAGTACGTCACGCTTTTTTTTTTTTAGTGACGAATTTTAACTCATCCGTCGTGGTCCCCCCTCCCCCCACTTTTTTTTTTTTTGAGTCCCCTGTCCAATCCCATACGCTCCTGTACACAAAAAATGGATCAACCATAAAGTACGTCACGCTTTTTTTTTAGTGACGAATTTTAACTCATCCGTCGTGGTCCCCCCTCCCCCCACTTTTTATTTTTCCTCACACTTTCGAACTAAAAAATTAATAACTAATACAAATTAAATGACGGCCTCTGTCATTGTCAGAATACATACATCGGAACCGAAAGTGAAACCTCACTACCAATTTCAGGTTTTATATGTATGATCTTTTTTTTTTAATGTGTGACATCACATATGATTTTTACTCCCCAACCCCCCTGGGTCACAAACTGTTGAACTTTCTTATACCTCTCCGATATGTGACGTATTTTATGGACGGCCCATAATTGACCCCCCCCCCAACCACACTGTCCACACACATTCATTCTGTGCTTTGATAAACATGGCCCGTAAAGAAACAGTCCGTCAGCTACCAGATCTTGCTTTACATTTCTGTCAAACGAAATAATTTCTGATCCGGATAAGACTACAATAAAGTCATTTACTAAGTGCAGAATTTTTTTTTTTTTAAATAATAACAATTAAGTTCTTCACTGCTGTAATTATAGTTGGGTGTCGCTTTAAAAATAAAAAAGTCCCCAAATGCTATCTTTACCAACAAGTGGATTTATGAAGATTAAATAAAATACATTCACTAAAAACAGTATGAGTACTATGAGGGGGTAATATCGCCGTAAAGGTAAACGGTAAACAATATTCCATTTTGGAACTGCAACTTAAGTTTCTTAAATTAAATTACTAACTACAGCTACAATTGACATTGAAATTCTTTGATTGCTCACTTAGGAATCCAGTATTAATTAATAATAAACAGCAAGTAAATATTTAATTTTCCACATGAATGTAATTTTAAAAATAAATTTATTGAAAATAAATCATAATGATTAAAAATGACCTTCAGTCTAAGATTGCGCGAGCAAAGGAAAGAATTAACACGTGTTCGCAAATTTAAGCTAACACCGGTTTATTTTTACGTGGAGAAAAGGGATATAACTGTTACAGGAAGTAAATATTCTAATGATATGCTTTTTAGATGTCGGACTAAACAAGTTATAAACAAAAGGTAAAAACATATGGCAGATTTATATATTCAGGTCTATTTAAAATTAATAAAATAAATAAAGATTTTGTAATATTAATATAAATTAACATGACTGAATATTTCATCAGTAGGCTTAGCCTAATTATAACTAGTTGTAAACTAAACTTAAATTGTAACTTGTTTAACTGAACTGGAACAAATGACCAAAAAATGACTAATTATTATGATTAATTAATTATTATTAATTTATCATAATAATAATTAATTATTATTATGATAAATTAATAATAATTAATAAAATAATCAATAACCATATGACACTAATTATTAATTGATCCAGTTTCAATTGACTGTGAATTGTTATTATTGGTGAAACTGTAGACTGTAGAGTGTTAGTTAGTGAGTGGCCTGAGTACAAAAATTATTAGCTTGTTTTCATCATAATTTAACAAATCTATATATATTTTTCGGAACTAATAACTAAGGCATAAGGAGGTCAAGATTGAAAGGCAGGCATTGGTATCTACTATATTATCCAATTAGCTATATGATGATAATGCCAACATGTGTCGTTAGGCACTTCTGTAAAGCAAGGGAGTCTACTATTCGTCTATTACTATTAAATTTGTATCAGAAATGGGAGTCGGCCCATAAAATAAAAATCAGATTCAGAGTTTTTAATTTTTGAAGTGTAATGATAATTTATTTTTAAAAGGAGTATTTTGTCTTAAATGATAAATGTGTGCTCTGTTTCAGCATTAACAATGAACAGTGGTCATCTTGACCTAGTTTCCCATCAATTTTTTTAAGATGGATCCAACTTTTTAAAAGCCCTTAGCCTTAGTCAAAATGAGGCATCTTTTACCATATAGATCAACTCCAAATTTAAAACATTTCGTCTTCTATATACCGATTCAGTATATTTTGAAATACATTAGTGCCAATTTTAATAGTGGAGGCCTACTCCTGTAGATGCTATGCTCCTCAACGTGAGCTGAATCAACTCATTTGAGCTCAGCCTTACTTCTGCGAATACAACCAGTCACTAATCAGCTCCAGTTCACATATTCTTTTTATTTAATTTGAGTTTAGGGCATTAAAATTAGAATATTTAGATGTTAAATCATTTATTGCAGACTTAGTTTTAATGGAAAGGCAGATATGAGTCATTACTCATGCTGTCTTTCTTTGCCTTAAAAACTTTCTTCACTCTTTACTTTTAAACTACTTTCAACTACTTATGCTACCTTTGTAAACATATTTTAAGCTTACTGGTTAAGTTTAAAAGTATAGGCCGAATAAAAAAATTGTGTGAGTAATAAATGTCTATGTAATTAGCCTAATTTTAGCTATAAAGTTTTATTGTTGATATAGTTGGCCTATATTGTAAATAGTATTATAGGTTAGCCATAAAGTATTACTATTTTATAGTTACAAACTTATTACTACCCATTGGGCGTATTATTGATACTTAGGCTCAAGAACTGAATAATTTTAAATATTAAAATTATGTATAATCTCAGTTTATTGATGTTATGTTTTCACCTAAAAAAGAGGATATTAATCACATTGATAATATTTTTTTCCATTTCCTTTTTTGCTGACAGTTGAAACCAGGAGCTATTACTTTCTCATAGTGTAGACATTAAACTTTAATCAAAATGGTTTTAGCAGATTTGGGTAGAAAGATAACTTCTGCCCTTAAATCTCTGAGCAATGCAACAATCATCAATGAAGAGGTATGCAAAAATTAACAGAAATTTAATTTTTTTTTTTTTTTAAAATTTAACATGATGATGAAATATTTGTTGCTTTTGTCATTATAAAGGAACAAATTTAATTAAATTTTTTAACTACTTCTTAGTTTCGTTTGTATAATTATTTTAAATCCTGTTACACATGTCTCTAATATTTAAAAAATTAGGTGCTTAACGGCATGCTCAAGGAGATCTGTGCAGCTCTGTTAGAGGCTGATGTCAATATTCGATTGGTCAAACAACTTAGAGAAAATGTCAGGTGCGTTACTACCTTATTTCCCCTCGTGCTTCTCTTTCATTGCAAACTCATACAAATTGCAACACAAAAAAAATGTGGCCAATTTACTTATTTCATAACACAATAAACATACTATTTTCAAAACTGTGCATAAAATTCCATCTACATTGTTCTTCCTACTTTCTGATAATGCTGACAAGTTTACTGTGTTTTAATTATAATATTTTCAGATCTGTGATAGATTTTGATGAGATGGCTGGAGGCCTAAACAAGCGACGAATGATTCAATCAGCTGTCTTCAAAGAGCTTGTTAAGGTTTGCAAACTGAAGTTGTCTATTTTTAACCCACTCCTGGCTGCTTGATCAGAACTATTATACTTTATTATTCCTATATTTTTGTATTTGACCTGAGCTGTTAAATGATTGTCCTGCATTTAGCACTTGACTAGAGCTATTATAATTAAATGTTAGTCCTTTAGTTATCACTTCACAAGAACCATTAATGTATGTTTGTCCTATATTCATGCATTTAACTAGAACTATGGAAAGTTTGTCCTACATTTAGCTCTTGACTAAAGTGATTAAATGTTTGTCCTACATTTAGCTCTTGACTTGCACTATTTGTAATTATTTTCTGCCCACTTTTAGTTGATTGACCCTGGAGTGAAGGCGTGGCAGCCTAGCAAGGGAAGGAACAATGTCATCATGTTTGTTGGTCTCCAAGGCAGCGGTAAAACCACAACCTGTACAAAAGTAGGCCATCTTATACTTTGTGGCAAAGGAAACATAAATTGTATTGAAGGTTTCATTGAAAACAATGTTTCATATTTAAAAACTCTTGCTTATTATATTACTAATACTTACTGAAAGCTGTGATTGTTGAGTTTGAGTGAGAGATTAAAAAAAAATCCTAATAGGAGCAATATTTCATCATCAATACTTTATAAATAATTAACTAGACCTATAACAAAAAACACTTGTCAAAGATTAAAGAGAATGCTTAAACTTTGATAATGATATTGTATATTTACATCAATTTAACAAAATCAGACATTGCAATTCTGTTGCCTTGAATTTCTTATAGTTTGTTTATTATAGCCTTTGGAAGGGTTGATTGTTTGATCTGTCAGTATTTGGCAGTGTTGATTGTTTGATCTGTCAGTATTTGGCAGTGTTGATTGCTTGATCTTTCAGTATTTGTCAGTGATAGTTGTTTGATCTGTCAGTATTTGGCAGTGTTGAACACCAACCAAGTTACCAGTAAACTTCCATTCCCCAGTTGGCTTACTACTACCAGCGTAAAGGTTGGAAAACTTGTCTTATTTGTGCTGATACGTTCCGTGCTGGTGCATTTGACCAACTGAAACAGAATGCCACTAAAGCCCGTATTCCTTTCTACGGCAGGTGAGTGACTTCAAGAAACACAGACTTTCCCTTTTACTAATTATTATTCTTGGGTTGGAATGCAATAAAGTTTTAAATTAGATTTATCAAAAGGACACTAAAATGTTTTGCACATAAAAAAGCGTAGGTCAGCTTCAATTAAAGAAAAATTGCACATTTAAGATAGTTCATCAGTCAAACAAATATAAATTGCATGAATCTACATGAATTAAGAACTGGGATATATATATATATATATATATATATATATATATATATATATATATATATATATATATATATATATATACACACATAAGATAATATATCTATAAAGGTATTTTTTCAATTAGTTTGTATTAAAAAAATATAAAATATAAATATACATAAATAAAGAACATATATATATATATATATATATATATATATATATATATATATATATATATATATATATACATTCACACACAAGAAATTATATCTATGAAGGCATTTTCACAAATTGTTTGTATCTTAATCTTTCACCACATCATCCTTTGTGTAACCATATGTAAAATTTATATCATCATTTGTGTAATCTTGTATAAACATGTAACTAAAGTTATATCACCAGGTGTGTAACCATGTAGCAATATTTGTATCACCTTGTGTAACCATGTAACATCATTTATATCACCAATAGCTTCACCTTGGGTTAGCATGTAATAACATTTATATCACCATTTGTGTAACCATTTAACATTACCTTCTATTTGTGTCATCTTGTTGAACCACGTATGGTCATTTGTAACACTATGTATCACCACATCATTCTTAAAGAAAGTAATACTCATTGATGCTTTGGTGGCCAGTTACACAGAAATCGATCCAGTTGTCATCGCGCAAGAAGGAGTTGAGAAGTTCAAGGCAGAAAACTTTGAGATTATTATTGTAGACACTAGTGGTCGCCACAAACAACAAGATTCTCTGTTTGAGGAAATGTTGCAAGTGGAGCAGGCAGTGGTAAGTAATATGTTCATTATGTAGAAGTGGCGATATATTCCTTATCTAGAATTGGTGAGTAATACATTCCTTATGTAGAAGTGCTGAGTTATACATTCTTATGAAGAAGTGGTGAGTAATACATTCATTATGAAGAAGTGGTGAGTAATATATTTATTATGAAGAAGTGGTAATACATTCATTATGTGGAATTGGTGAGTTATACATTCATTATGTAGAAGTTGTGAGTACCGTAATACAATCCTTATGTAGAAGTGATGAGTAATATATTCCTTATATGGAAGTGGTGAGTTATACATTCATTATGTAGAAGTAGTGAGTAATTTAGTTTGTACTTAAACTTAAATCCATTGTAGTATTATTATGAGGTTGAGATATTTCATTGAATTTCAAATTTAAAGATAGAGAAAGAATTTTTTTTTTTCATTTGCCAATCCGCAGAAACCAGACAATATTATTTTTGTGATGGATGCTACAATTGGTCAAGCTTGCGAGTCCCAGGTGTGTAATATGTTTTACTTCTAATAAAATTGAGCTATTAAAAATACTTCAACTTTCATTTAAATTATAGAATATGGCCAGGCAACTCTCATTTAAATTATAGGATATGCCCAGGCATGTGAGCTCAGTAAGCTCCTTTTTGGTATGGCAATTAGTGTGCACCACATGTGTCAGTCATCAGTGGAAACTCTCCAACTGCTTTCACCTCAAGATGTCTTACATTGCATTTTACGAATTCGATGGCAGGACAAAGTGCCTAACACAGAGGTTTTGGAACCTGCCAAAATGTGCAGCATGTTCTCCGCTCAGCAGGAGGAGCCATTGCTGGTCAGGCCATGTAAGGAGAATGGAGGAATGCTGTATTCCATAGAATCTGTTGTATGGAGAGCTGGCAGAGGGGTTAAGAGTTACTGGATGGCAGCACTGGCGATTTAAGGACATTTGCAAAAGGAAGTGGGAAGCCAACATAGAAATCGGTGAACGGCAGTTTAAGAGGGAGTCAAACAGTCAGATGCGTAAAACATAACCCTTGCAACAAAAAGAGCATTACAAAGTTAACCAGAAGTCAAGTTTCTCCTGTTAGAAATTTAAAGTATTGTCAATAAGCTACTCCATCGTCACACAAAGATGAAAGGAAGCCATGTTTTTATCAGCTGAATTCAAAAGAAATTTTATTATGAATTTGTGTGTGAAACAGAAATTGAGGGAATCCTACAATCTTAATGGAGAGATTATTCCTTAAAATTGAGCTGATGTGGAAACAACTTTAGACAGTTCAAATTTACTTTCAACAAATGAAGTTTTTTGTTTCTACTGTCACTATAAGTGCAATCCTCTTTCTCTATTACCAGGCCAAAGCATTTAAGGACAAAGTAGACGTCGCCTCTGTTATCATCACTAAACTTGATGGTCACGCTAAAGGTGGTGGAGCTCTCAGTGCGTAAGTATGCTTTGAAAGCTAAGTTGTATCTCAAACTTGCAATGTTTTGTTTTTTGAATGATCAAGTTTACATCTCTTTATGAACTTAACAACTTGATGGAGCTGAAAATATTTTACTTATGAATTGAATAGCTAATTATCCCTTATTTATGACTAATAGCTGAAGAAATAAAAAAAATTATAGTAGATAGCATTGCCTTATCAAAATTTATTTGCTGCACATGATTCAGATTGACATTTCGGTATTAAATTGAGATAAAGTGTTGCATTTTTGGCCATTAGAGTTGCAGCCACCAAAAGTCCTGTCATCTTCATTGGCACCGGTGAACACACGGATGATTTTGAGCCTTTCAAAGTTCAGCCTTTTGTCAGCAAACTGCTTGGTAAGTTAAACATTTAATTTTGTTGCATATTTGGTTTAACTAGAGAACTTTCAATTAGCAGGCCTCCATGGTATGTCAGGATACTTTTTTAAGTGTTTTAAAAATTATTTTTTAGGCATTATTTTTATTTGAAAGATACAATTGAAGAGTTATAATAAAAACAATAATATTTTGCATGAGCATCATTATTCGTTTTTTTTTTTAAAAAGTGGTCAATTTTTCTTTGTAATTTAATTTTGAAAGTTGCAGTAAACTGAAAGAATAATTGTTTTACACAGGTATGGGAGATATTGAAGGTCTTATTGATAAAGTCAATGAATTGAAACTAGATGACAATGAAGAGCTAATGAAGAAACTGAAACATGGTGAGTTCATATTAAATTACTCTCTTCTTTTATTACGATTAGATATAGAAATTGAAGTTACAGGCTTAAGAACTAAAAATATTACAGGCATTTCTGACATAATTAAAATATTTTATTACTTTAGTTAATCCAGTCTAATCTGCTTTTGACATAAAATCTTGCGAATGCTGAAGCAAAAAATAACTCCATGAAAAAAAATTGCATAGAATATACAACATGATATTTCATTGTTTTAACATTATGCATGGAATGGAAAGTCTTTTTCAGATACTTCTTTAACTATATTATCAGTATCACATTCTACATCAATTTCAATAGACTCTGCATCTATCTATGTTTGATTTGTTTGTCTAGTACACTTTGCATGAGCTTGGAAAGCTTCAAATAATGGTAAAATATTTACGAAAGAAGATAAAGCACTAATTTTATTTCAACATAAATAGAGCGTGATTCTCCTGCAAACCAGCTGTAAATGTAGGGTTGTGTTTAATTAACTGCTGTCTGCCCCAAACAAGCATCCATGCACATGACATGTCATGATGCTGTCATTTGTAGTTGTAGGCCTGCACATGTGGGAATGAGGGGGGGATGAGAATGACCAGTAGTGGGTTAAATCAATTAATCAGCTGTTTCATTTTACTGGTATTAAAAAAAGTTTATTTTACTATGCCTTAAAAAAATTGCATTAGCCACTCTGATAAGACCATTTAAAATAAGTAAATAAAAAATAAATAATAAAAAACAAAATTTAAAAAAGACTTACTATCAAATATAAGTTTAAACGCCCTAAAAAGTAGAAAATAATTAAATATTCTTCAAATTAAATGAATTGTGCAAAAAAAAAAAAAAACCTGCATATGTGTGGATGAGCACTTTATGTTTTAAGGATTCAAATTGAATGTAGAACGTTTTATTTTTATTAATTTTTGAAAATATTTTTTTCACAGACTTTCTTTGCGTAATGCATTTTAAAAATATATAATTATTTTCTACTTTATAGTGCGTTTAAGCTCGTCTTTTATAGAAAGTCTTTTTTTTTTTAAAAGTTAAAATATTTTTTATTTATTACCATTTTTTTAGTACTAAAATTTTAATCTGTAAATTATCAATAAGAGAAGTGTTACTTTTTAAAAATAAAAAATTGTTTATATGAGTGTGTTTACCCACTCTTCATGAAGTAGGTGTGATGTTGACACAGTTCAGTTGCAAAGAACACCTTCACAAGAAAAGGATCAACTTAGTTAAAATGTTATGTGTGCAAAATAAGATAAAAATGCTATTAGAAATAAAGTTTTTAAAAATAAAAAAAAGTAAGAGAACTTCAGAAATAAGCCCCATTGTGTGAGAGCTGAAGGCACCACCTGCATAACTATGCTATGACAATTGCCAGTGGTTCTGAAGGCTCAGTCCATTGGACTTCCCAGCAACATGTAATCAGAATTCACCATCTGGTTGGTTACGCTCATTTAATGGTATCTCTACCACATGTCTGGGGACTTTACCACAGGCAGAGGAAGAATTAATCTTCAGTTTGTGGCCTGTTGAGCAGGTTCCCAAAGTTCTCCAGTTGTCAGATCTCTAAATGACCAACCTATATACCCCTGAAATATCCTCATTGATCCTTATTTTATGTTTTAAGTTTTACATAAGTAAAACCATCCTTGATTTTCTTCTTCCATTTTTCTGTAATAGTATTAGGTTATGTTTACCATAAAATGTCCCTACCCTTTCAATTTATTAAATGTCATTGCCAATAGAAAATATGGGATATATTATTTCAACAAGCCACTTAGGTAGATTTGGGAAAAGGATCTACACTTACCTCCCTTGAAAATTTTAAATATTATTCCCCTTGATTTATCTAAATCCATCCCAGAACTAACCATAACTACATTTATAATGCTATTTCTATTTTATAGGCAAATATTTTATGACATTAAAAATTTACTTTGAAAAGGTCAGTTCACATTAAGAGACATGTATGAGCAGTTTCAAAACATCATGAAAATGGGGCCATTCAGTCAAATTATGGTACGTCAAAACAAATTTGCACATTGTTATTTAAATTTTTCTTTCTTTCTTAAATTTCAATGAGATGAGATAATGATAAGAAATGAACCGTTTCTCTCTATATATCGATAATATTGAAGTATTTTTTTTTAAATTGGTCGATTCCAATTCTTCCTAATGGCATAGATGAAAATGAAATTGTAGCATAAATTCATATTCTACATGTTCTCAGGGCATGATACCTGGATTCAGTTCAGACTTCATGACCAAAGGCAGTGAACAAGAGTCAATGGCAAGGCTCAAGAAATTAATGACAATCATGGACAGTATGAATGACCAAGGTGAGGCAATCTTTGAAATATAATGTGTATTTTTTAGCTCCTTGAGTTAAAAATGTGAACTTAATAGCAAGTGTTCTTCACCTCGAGGTTTAAAGAAAGAATTTTAGTTCATTTATTTACAGATTGATATGTTTCAAATGAATTAAAGAATTTTATAATGTGTCACACAGTTTGAAGCAATATTTTCCAACGTAAAATAATTATGTGGGGCATTTCTAATAAAATAGGGCATTTTTCAATGAAATGATTTGGCCATAAAATGTCCACAAGTCTTTTATTGTAATTGTTCAAGAGCATCTGTAACTTTAATTTTAATACGAATTGCTTTTTGCCAGGATAGACCAGTGACAGATCCTTATCAACATAAAATTAACTTATTAAAAACTCATTTATGAAAGTGAGTTATAAATTAAGTAAATTTAATAATTTATAACACACTTTAAATGAGTTTTTCTTAAAGTTTATACATTTTTCTTTCCGATATTTTCTTTAGCTTAGTGCATTTATAAGAATAAGTAATTAAATTTGATTATTTATAATGTTGAATGCGATTTAGAGTTAATTTTTTTCTCTCTTTCCAGAATTAGACAGCCTTGAGGGGGAAAAACTCTTCTCTCGAAGCCAAGGAAGAGTTACTAGAGTTGCCCGTGGAGCTGGTGTATCTGTGAGGGAGGTCAATGAACTCTTGACCCAGTACAAGAAGTTTGCACAGATGGTGAAGAAGATGGGTGGTATCAAGGGACTGTTTAAAGGTTTGTTTCATTTCGATTGAAATTGAATCAATGACACTTTTATCTGTCATGAACAGTTCTTTACTACATGTGCTACGTGGATTTCAAATGTTGTGTCTTGGTCTCATTACTACATGTGCTAAATGGATATCAGGTGTTGTCTTGGTCTCATTAGTACATGAGCAAACTGGACATCAAATGTCGTGTCTTAGTCTCATTACTACATGGATATCAAATATTTTCTTGTTCTTATTCAACGAGGCGGCACAAATTTTGAAGTATATTTTGATCTAAAAAAGTTTACTATTGTATATTGAAAATATTTTACACTATTCTTATAGTTCAGTTTGTGATATGAACATATGTGTTACATAATGGTGTATTTGATTGTTGTTTCAGGAGGAGATATGAACAGAAATGTTAACCAGGGCCAAATCACCAAGCTGAACCAGCAAATGGCAAAAATGATGGATCCAAGAGTACTACAACAAATGGGTTAGTAACTCCAATAACAAATGTGTGTGCTTTAGTCTTCAGTGAAATCTTAGTTCATTTTTTGTGAATCATGCCAAAGGCTCTCAACCTTCATGTACTCAAGGACCGCTTATTTAAACGCTAGATTCCATGACTATTAATTGTATTTGCACTTGAAGCTGGGGTTCCTTCTTAGAGGCGCAGCAACCACTTTTACATTTAAAACATTTCTGGTACCAACACCACCCCCCCCCCCCACCCCCAGATAAAATATATTTTCATTTTAAAAATTTAATGTGAAAATGATTCAGTTATGGTGGTTTTTCTTTTTATATCAACTTGATAAAAAAAATGCACCAGTACACACAATGCCCTAAAAAAATTCACCAGTAACTTAAAATAATTACAAGAAATGTCTGTTTTATCATAAAATTATATTTTTGGCTTTAAAAAATGCTCTTTCCATGGCTCCCGCAGGTGGCATGCAAGGCTTACAGAGTATGATGCGACAGTTCCAACAAGGAGCAACTGGGAAATTTGGCAATATGTTTAATTTCACTGATAGATAGTTTCACAATCTTAATTTAATGCTGTAGCTTTCGATCAGGTTTTTTTTTGTTTCTATATTACATGTGTTTAATTTAAGAAAAATCTTTTAAAAAGCCGAGTTGATGTCAGTTGATGACATTTTTACGGTTCAAATTTTAAAGTAAGACATACATGCAAGCTTAATTAAAAGCAAAAAAAAAAAAGAATGAATTTGCTGTTCTTGACATATCAACGTTGTGTTGAATAGATGTTGAGTGTTATGTTGAAATAAATGTTGATTGTTGTATTGAACAGATGATTATTGTATTGAACAGATGTTGATTGGTGTATGTCCTCATGGCAAAATTTACTTCACATACACTATTAGTGTTATTATACAAGTTATTTGAAAGGGCAAAGAGTTCACTGAAATGACTTGCAATATGACATCACATTGTATATTTAGATAAAACATGTAATTTAATAAAAAAAAGTGAATGAGATTACACAAGGATTATATTGCTTGTTAAAAATGAACTGAAAAAAAAAATTTGAGAAATATGATACATTTAAAATTAACTGTGTTTAATGCCGCCTAGTTAGTGTGCTCAAAATCACTGTTTCTCAACAAATCAGTAATTTCTACTTTAACTGCTCTAATGGGAAGAGCTCCAGAGCCAATGGATTAAAAAATTTTTTACATGTATAATCATAAGAATTAGAGTACAAAGAAAGATTATTTCTGTTTCTCCAATATGAAGCCCCTAAAATAATTTGTTTTGTTACCATAATTAAAATAATGTTTCTGATTTTGCATAATTGATTTAAATATAGCATTCTAAATGAATTGTCAATATTTTTAAAAAACACAAATTCATTGGAAATAGAGGTTAAACATCCAAAATATGTTTATTTTTTAGTACCTAATTTTCTACTAGCAGACAACAAAACAGTCAACCAGTCTCGCTCTTTATGCACAGTCAGCATTGTCTTGCTTTAGTTAATCTAAATACATTTAAACATAGAGCTTCAAATATAAACAAAATATTTCCACAAAACAAAACTGGTTTGGCTTGCTCGTATTGAATAGAAACCACAGACTAGATAAGTCCCACGGCTGTGTATTGCTGACCCAGATCCTATGGTAGTAAATAAATGTTGACAATATCCCACACAGACACAGTATAGGGCTCAGTGTATCCCTGTTTCGCCATATTTTAAAATAAAAAAATCCTGGACCTGCACTTCAATAGAAATGGACCTACCCTTCAATAGACCCTGGACCTGCTCTTCCTAATACCCTGAACTTGTCTTCTACAGACCATTAAACAACCAGCATTTAAAAGAATATAGAATACTTCATCAAATTAAAGCTAAAATGAATAGCTCCATTGATCAAGTCCTTTTTTAAAAAAATTTTTTTTTTTTACACTAGTAAGAAAACAACAACAAAAAAAAACAACAACGTAAAATAAGATTATCGTAATCAGTGTATTCAATAAATTAACGTGACTTTAGATCAAGCACCATTGCACATTCTTATAAGCTATCAAGTATTAACATGTGAATTATTTATTTCAAGAAGCCATTGTTGCAAAAATTGCACATAAAATATATACAGAGACAAGAGTAACCCTGATGTTGCCTACATTTGACAACCGATTGATTGCCAGTAAATCTATATTCCTTTCTAGGTCAGTCACTGAAATGTCAAAAATACATCATTTTTATCATTGCAAATCGCAAACATTTATTATGTTCTAGAAAATATGCACAGTAACTTCAATTGGCAGTTACTAGGAAAACATAATATTTCCAAGTTGGCAATTATTCTAACATGGTCACCGTGTCAATTATTTCTCTCTGGAGTTGAATTGAAATTGAAGACCTGTACGTTACTGTAAATCCCTCATTACTTCTTATTAGTTGGACGCTTTCTGAACTCTGAACTCATTGTTTTCTTGGTTCTGAGTTGGTCTTGTTGCGGTGCCTTTGGCACTTTGAGCAGCCTCATCTTCATCAATCAACTGGTCAAACAACAGAAAATGGGAGTTTTAAAAGTTAAACAATTGGATTTTAATCAATGTTTATTTAAATAAATAGCTTGTTAATTTTATCCGAGCCCATTGTAACAAATAGGCAAGGATGAGAGGATGGGAACTGGCGAATTGAGCTCAATTCTAAGATACTACTCAAGTCGAAGCATTGGTCATCTTCGCATACGAAGGATAAAAAATGCTACTACCTATTTACTTCGTTCCTTAGCTGCTCTGTATGGTTTTCAACAGTAAAAAGCTTTCTCCCATTATAACATTGGTCACTGAACTGACCTGACCAACATTTATGACATTGGTCACTGACCTGACCTGTCTAACATTTATGACATTGGTCACTGACCTGACCTGTCTAACATTTATAACATTGGTAAAATATTTTTACTAGTTAAATGACTCAATTGACTATGGGGTACTACTAAATTTTTTTGCCATCAGATCAAAAAAGTGTCATGTTAATTAAATGTTAACTCACTTTTAGAGTTGCGTCCAATTCTGCATCTAAGCTTGCATGGCATACGCTCGCCCTGGAGGGATTCCATTTGCTGGCAGAAGCAGACAAACGTGCGCCGAGTGGCAGGCTGCCAGGTCCCACCAGGAGGGAGGGGGATGGGCTGACACAAGGACTGGACCACTGGGACGAGCTGAGGTCCACTTGCTCCAACAGTCTGACCAGTTCAGTAGCTGTGGGGCCAGACTCCAGCTTGCCTGTCAAACAAAACAAAAGAGTGTGAAATCATAGGCATTTGAATTATCCACATTTTAACCAACAACAGGGCACACAGGGTGTTAGGTCAATCCTTTGGTCACGTCTCATTGAAATATTGAAGAAAGAAAATACCCTATCTTTATGTTATTACCCCTGGAGTACCCTACGGACAGCCAGATTACCTTTGTCGAGCTGTTTATACCAATCCAAAGCAGTTGTTAGGCTCCACATTTTAGAATCCAACATAACTTTAAACTTACACTTAGTTTAACTAGGTGTCATAGCCTATGGTGTGAGGAACTCTACGGATAGCCAGATTACCTTTGTCTGACTGTTTATACAAATCCAAAGCTGTTGTTAGGTCCCACATCTAAAAACAAGAAATAAAATGAAAGTCATTTGGTCATGAACTTCATTTTGTCAAATTGGTCATGGACAAATAAAGCAAATAAAATGGTGTCAAATAAATATATATAAAGTTAGCTTGTTCAAGAATTGCTGTTCAACTCCTATTATTAGAATTTGAAGCCTCAAATTGTAACTTGATTACTTACTTTAAGTTAATGTAGCATAATCTTCTATCACTACGCCAGGGAACACAGAACATGCTTGCATGAATGCCATCAACAGAACATGCTTACCTGAATGCCTTCCATGAACATGCCTACCTGAACACATTCTGTTGAACACATTTGCCTGAAAACATTCAACTGAACATGCTTACCTGAATGCTTCCATTGTTGTGACCAGTAAACAAATATCTCCTAGGACAAGATCCCATCCTGTTGGAACCCTCACATTCATGAACACAGAATGAGCTGATGGTGCTGCTGTCTACCGATCTAATCACACAGATTCTGTCAAAGACAAAGGAACATTTATGCACTGCCTTAAGCTCTATCAAAGCTCACAGAGATCAGTGAAAACAAGATATATAATTACAGTGTTTTATATTTCTTTGTTCTTGTTTTGCCCTGTCAGCTGAAGAAGGCTTTTTGCTGAAACATTCCACTTTCATTGTCCTTTCTTTTCATTTCAAGCTTCAACGTTAGATTGTTCCACTATGTCCTTCACACAACTTGAATGCAGACCTTTGTTTATGATCATATATTATTACACCATTGTAAGACAAAATCTATTTCACACCGTTATAGGACAACTAACATCATCTTTGAACTTTGATTCTTCATGGACAAAAACTAAGTTAAACAGCACTTATTGTGTTTGACATTTTACTGTTAAATTCTCCTATTTATAAATAATTATGTTTTGTTTTTAGCTAACAATAAAAAAAAAGTTAAAAAATGAAATTATTAATGATGACCATGAATACGGAAGTTACCACATAAATGATAAGACTGATTTCAGTATTATTTATAATAATCTTATTTACAGTTTTTTACAATATCTGACTAACCTTTGTCCAGTAGAGCTTTGTCTGATAAACAACTGGTCGGTGTTGGACACTACCTTCTGCACAAATAACTGTTGGTCATCTTGCTCACCAAATGGTCCTAAGGAGATAAGAAGTACATAGACCAAGGGTGGGAAAACATTTTTGTGCGGAGGGTTGCATGGAAATTGATTGGGTTTTGGCTGCATGATAATTTTCGTGAGGTCTTGAGTTCAAGAAAATAAACTAAACTAATTTTCTAGGGGTCTAGAGTTCAAGAAAATAAACTAAACTAATTTTCCAGGGGTCTAGAGTTCAAGAAAATAAACTAAACTAATTTTTATAGGGGGCTAGAGTTCAAGAAAATAAACTAAACTCGTTTTTTTAATAACTGAAAATAATGAATAATTTTAGTGCCATAAATGATATATTTTTAGACAAAAAATTAAATACACTTTTAATAAATGGAAAATAATAAATTAAAGAATCTTTTAATATAGTGAAAATAATAAATAGTGTAGCTAGTGAAACATTAACCCAGTTCCCGTAAGGTCCTTCATGCTGCATTAAATATTTCAACAGACCGCACATGGCATGTGGGCCAAAGATTGCCCACATCTGATATAGACCATATTGCAATGTTGTAATCAAAGTTAGCACTGATGAGTGATTGGCACTTAAGTCCACTTAACTCCAGATTTCAAAGTTTTAAACTAAATATACAATTATAATCACTTTTGTCATTAGTGGATTTATGTAAGATAAGTTTGAGTAAAATCAATGTCTATTCTTTCAGCCATACCAAAATCATTTCCTGCTGAGTAACTGATCAGAGGATCCATGTCATCCAATGAAACAATTTTAAATGAAGCCAGTGGCGTGGAGCCAGGCTGTGTAGAAATCATTCCACGAAATCTGGTCACATTCCAAGTCCTCACGTGGTTGTATTCTGAACAAACTGTCAATATCAAAGAATCAGGTTGTTTGAATTATGATCATCATTCAAACATCAGACTTTGTAACTCAACTAAATATTATGATCATCATTCAAACATCAGACTTTGTAACTCAACTAAATATTATGATCATCATTCAAACATCAAACTTTGTAACTCAACTAGATATTATGATCATCATTCAAACATCAAACTTTGTAACTCAACTAAATATTATGATCATCATTCAAACATCAGACTTTGTAACTCAACTAAATATTATGATCATCATTCAAACATCAAACTTTGTAACTCAACTAAATATTATGATCATCATTCAAACATCAGACTTTGTGACTCAAAAAATATTGTTATTAATCATTCCCTTGCCCTACCTGAAACTAAATGTTTTTCTGACAGCATGACCTTGGTGACAGGGCTGCGGTGAACAGTGAATGTTTGAAACAGCTGCGGTCCATGTCCTACCGTCTCGGGGTGCTGAACAATAACCCTGACTGTTCCAGAACTTGTTCCGTAAGCTATTTCAATCCAATTGCCACTTAGAGCTGTAGTAATAACATGGAATAAATTGAACTTATTTTCATCATTATCAGGTTAATAATAAATACCTGGGCCATATTCAGGTTAATAATAAATACCTGTGCCATATTCTGGTTAATAATAAATACCTCGGCCATATTCTGGTTGATAATACATACATGAAATTCCATTTGCTTACTGGTTTTAGGAGTCAGGTAAACACTGAGCGCTGTCACCATGTCACATGCTGGATCACTGTACAACTCTGTCACAAGTAGATCGTTGTCCTTCATACGCAATGGGAACTTCTGCATATCTAGGTCACAGAAACATAATCACGATAAAAGTTAGTATTTTATTCAGTTCATTAGAATTGTGTCATGATCAGATAGAACAAGTGTACCTATGTAGTAGATAGAACAAGTGTACCTATGTAGTAGATAGAACAAGTGTACCTATGTAGTAGATAGAACAAGTGTACCTATGTAGTAAATAGAGCCATCCTCGCAGCCAAGTAGAAGGAAAGATCCAGCTGTGTCATAACTTGTTATAGGAACCACATCCTGAATCTGTCCACATGGGGGAAAGAAGGGGGGGGGGAAAGAGTGACATGCAGGGGAGAAATGAGGGACATCAAATATTTATTGTTTTACTACATAGTGTACAGTTAAGTAAACTTGCTTCAGAAACAAGAAAAAGTGTATTTTGATATCAATAATCAAATTCTATGCAATAAATTTAGTGAAATTCAGAGCAAAACAAATGGTACCACCCCAGATACCTTACAAAAAACATGTTACTTCCAAAGATAGACACCTTTAGAAATCCACGTTTCTTTAAGGAAGACTTACCTGCCAATGTTGAGTCATAGAGTGCCAGACTCCAACCTTTCCTGTCCGGCTGAGAGCCACCAGCTGACTCCCAATAAAAAATAAGTTATCTACAGAGACGTGGAGGTCAAACACACCTGCAAGGCAAGTTCAGCAAACATCAATCAACTCAAGTCGATTCAGGTGGGGGATTCCCCATAATTTGGTGTTTCCCATATTACTATAACACTAGCTCAGTTATGGAGTATTCAATAGTTGCTCCACTTTGTATGATTCTCCCATTGATTGCTACATGACATAAGTTTAACTGATCTCAAAACCAAACAATCTGATACTCTTCCCTTCGACATGACCACAGACCTGGGCTTAATTATCGACACAAACTATGACTTGACCGGGAAAGGCCAAGAATATTTTCAATTTCCACTGCACTCTAATGACTCTATGCATTTATTTTCATGAGCTATTAAATTAGCCAATCTACTCACCTATTTGTTTACTTTCTCCACTAATCTACTCACCTATTTGTTTACTTTCTCCACTAATCTAATCACCTATTTGTTTGGGTTCTCCACTTATCTACTCACCTATTTGTCTACTTTCTCCACTAATCTACTCACTTATTTGTTTGTGTTCTCCCCTAATCTACTCACCTATTTGTCTATTTTCTCCACTAATCTACTCACCTATTTGTTTGCGTTCTCCACTAATCTACTCACCTATTTGTCTACTTTCTCCGCTAATCTACTCACCTATTTGTCTACTTTCTCCGCTAATCTACTCACCTATTTGTCTACTTTCTCCACTAATCAACTCACCTATTTGTCTACTTTCTTCACTAATCTACTCACCTATTTGTTTGTGTTCTCCACTAATCTACTCACCTATTTGTCTACTTTCTCCATCATCCCAAACTGCCCACAACCACACTGTTGAACCAGAAGATGCTGCGACCATCTTGCTGTTGGAATTCTCTTGATTGGAACTGACAACTTTAGCATTGAGAGCAACGCGTTCCACCTGGCTGTCCATGTGTTGGCTTGTCCAGAGTAAATGCCAGCCAGTAGAATCTTTCATTCTGTAACAATAGATTTTAGGCAATAGAATCTTTTATTTTGCAAAAAGAGATTTTTGCCAGTGGAGCGTTTTATCCTGAGGTTTGTAACAAACTGATTTAAGCTGATTACAAACAGTGTTTTTACAAAATACAATTTTAGTGACTATTGTAAAGTCGATAATTGATCCCCTATAAAGCACAAGCTGACCCAGAAAAGTACGTTCACACTGCTGATTTGTTTCAGCCACAAATCTCAGGTATAAATCAAAGTTGAGAGTCAGATGCTGTTTGTTGATGGTTGCAATCAGCAGAAAGTCATGACTGACAGTGATAATCCACATAGTTGATTACAAATTGAGCAGGCACAACTATGGCTTCTGATGCAGAACTTTTATACATATTTATGTACTAGTGCAGAGGTCAGCAGCCTAGCACAGGGATCAGCAACCTAGGGCAGGGGTCAGCAACCTAGAGCAGAGGTCAGCAACCTATTGCAGGGGTCAGCAACCTGGCACAGGGGTCAGCAACCTGAGCCTACGGCTCTTTAAAAGAATACATGCAGCTTTTTCTTTTAGATGTGCACTCTAAAAATTGAATAAATAATCATGTAACCACAATAAAACTGTTAAACATTGTCTTGCCTGGTTGGTGGGGAAGTGGGTATATTAAAGCACTAAATTAATTAATTAGGATCACGTGAGGATATTCCCCACATTTAAGTGATCAGCCACCCATGAAGGGGGAAAAAAAAGTACATTACAAAATTCTTTAGCTAATTAATTCCATTTAAAAAAAAAAAAAAAAAAAGGGTCATGGTTCCTCCAGCCATAGTTTCTTTAATTTCTTTTGGCTGCTCAAATAAAATCAAACTTGAAATTTACTTCACAAATTTTAATCTTGGAACAACAAAATATGCCTAGAAGACTACCAATATTTTGTTAAAAAGGCCTTTCAACTATTGACCATGTATGCACACTGATAACTTATGACAGTCTTGTGTTTGTATATTGCCAGCCTACAATATAAACTGTTAACAAAACCATGAGAATAACACCTCTTGGCCGACCGGTTTTTTCATCCAGCAAGTCGCCAGTGGTCACAGAAATCTCGCAATTCATATGGCAACAGCTAGCCAGCGAAGAAGCTCAGGGAAAAATCTGCTGAGTGATCGTATGGTACCGGTACCATAAGCTAAAGCTTTTATTAAAGGCAAGCAACAGCACTAACCTGTAGCAACACACAAAATGGGGGTAAGCTGCACAGATCCAGTTCTGATGACCTCTCAGCATCGTCACCCTTAGAGGGTCCATCACAGCTGGGCATAGAGACAAGTCAGTAGTTTAGCAAGTCATTTTAAATGCAGTTCAGCATCAAATGTTATTACTATGAAATTTGAACATGTAATACAGGTAAATGAGTGCAAGACATGTATTGAGTGTAAGACATGTATTGAAATACTGATGTGAGACTTAGTGTAAGACTGATGAAAGACTGAGTGTAATACTGATGACAGACTGAGTGTAAGACTCATAACAGACTGAGTTTAAGACTGATGGCAGACATAAATATTTCTCATGCAGCATTCACCTGGATTATTCTGTGGATTAACAGGATTTTGACTAGATAGCAAGGATTCAGTTAGTGTATTTTTGGACTGTCCTTGACCCTGTGAAGGAGCTGGACCAGTTGATGCTTGTCTGTTTGAGGCACCTATCCGATCTCCTGAAGAGCTTCTAGCACAAATGGTATATGAACAAAATGATAAGATTCTATCACAAATTATGTATGAACAAAATGATGATATTCTAACACAAATGGTATATGAACAAAATGATGATATTCTAGTACAAATGGGATATGAACAAAATGAGGATAAAATTAGTTCATATCAAAATATGTTTATGATTACTGGTACTAAAATTTTATTGAACTTATTGATTTTTGTATCAATCGTTCAGATTAGTGTTACTACTCTTGTCGAAAGGGAACACAAAAACTATGTGAATAGATAAATACATTAAATAAATACTGGAACGAGATGTGTTTGCGGTTGAAAAAAATAAACATGACAATTACAAGGACATGTCGGCTAAATGCCTTCTTCAGCAGGCAAGACAAAATAAGACTTGAAAAATAGAAATAAAAAAACTTATGTGTTTGAAGATTCTGATCAAAATGTAGTTCTCTCCGTCTGTTTGAAAGCAGAGTTGTTCAAAACCAAAACGTGCATCCCACATAATTCTGTGGTGCGTACCAACCAACAATGAAAATACAATTGGAGGGAGATTGAGAACCACTCATAAGAGAGCATTTAACTGATTGCATAATCTGTGTTGCAGAAAATCCTAAATAATTTGATTTCATTCTTCAGTCTAGCAGCTGTATTAGTGCAAGAAATAAGAGTCCGGATGCATCTGATGTGCCGTTGTGTTCACCTCCCTTGAAATGGGATGAGACCAAGGATGGCTTGTTTTGTTCAATTTCACAAAGACGTTTGCTGAACCTACTCAGGTAGCCTTCTTCCCAATATCACTTATGTAAAAGGAGTAGCATCTTGGGAAAATGCTCACATAGATCACATTTCGACTATTAAATTTGAAGCCCTCTTTGATGGTAAAGGTCCCCTTAGGGAAGCTAATGTGTTTTGTTTCCAATACATAGGGTCTTCTTAAACATGGTTTAGTCCCAATGTAAGAAGGTTCGGTTCAGCTGGAAGGTGACTATGAACCAGAAAGTCACATAATTTTTATCCCCTCTGAAAACAATTAATGGAGGGGTGAGAGTACCCTGTTAAAGTCAGGGTCAGCAAGGAGTATTTGATGATACTTTACGATAAGGGTCATGTCCAGAAAGTTCACAAAGTTCTTATAGATTTGTGCATTAAATTTATTAAAGGGATGTAATGAGCTTAGAAAATCAATAAGTTGTTGGAATTCCCTTGTTTCCATGATAGTGATGCCAATGACATCATCACTGAATCATCTGAAAAATTATTGGTTATGGCCAGTATATGGCTTCTCTACCATGTATTCAAAGTGGCCCATAAAATGGCAGGTATAACTAGGGCTCATTTTGGTACCCATGGCCACACTACTAATTTGGTCAAATAAATGACCATTAAATTCAAAAGAGTTGAGGGTCAGGACGAGTTCAGGCGGTTGGAAAAGGGTGTCAGTATGAATTGATGGATGTGGTTTGTTTTTGAGGAATTGACTTGCACAAGGAGCAGACGTCAAGTAAAAACAGTACTTGTTTTGTATTCTGTGTAATGTTTAAGGCATTAAATGTTTTAAAAGCGTGGTTGGTGTCCTTAATATATATGGGTAAAGAAATTACAAAAAATCTGGATTATCCCATCAAGAAATTCTGAGATCTGTTCTTTAGGGAAAGTGCAGGCCGAGACAGCAGGTCTTCCAGGATTGCCTACTTTGTGAATTTTAGACAGCAATTAGAAAGCAGTTTACTGCAGGTCACTATTGAATATGTTCAGAGCAGAAGCCGATTCTGCAGGTTTTGAATCGTCAATTATTTTTTTTTGATGTCAGTACACACGATTTCGTTGTTGCAGAATTTCTCATCCTCGAATTTTCCCTGAGCTTCTGAGCTTCCACCTACCTTGGTTGTCCGTGTGATGCCCCACTTGCTCTGTTAGTGTCTCCACCCTCCACACTAACAACAGAATGGCGCAGATTGGAGGAGGTCTGTAAGGGAGGTACTGAAGCAAACATCAAATTTAAAATGTTCAATTTATCTGAGATAATTCCTCAATCCACTTTAATTAAAAAAACAACAATTGCATCCGATGGATCCGACCCATCAGACACGCTAATGAAGGAAACACAAGCAATTTTTTTAATACAACAAATTAATATTTTACATTATGAAAAGCAATTAAATTGAATAAGATTAGATATTCTTTATTAATCCAAATAAATTATTGAGCTAAATAAATCAACTATTGTAAATTAAAAATGATGAATTGACTTACTTGGAGGCTGGAAATATCCATGAAACAAAACATCACCACAAGATGAGTGGTCTAAATCTTCACATAATGCAAGGCGTCCCACTGAAGATAGAAATATTACTTCAAGCATGCAACTTGTAAGATTCAGTTTTCCATGGTGTAACCATTCTATGTAGAGGCCCACATGTACAACTAAAATTTTTCTTTAAAAAATACAACATTGTTTCAAAGAGGAAAGTCTGCTGCTGGCTTTATTAATACCTTTATATCAGTGGTGAAATATGTCTTTCAAGCACCCAGATATAGGAAGAAATGTGTTCCCAAGTACACACACTATTAGCATGATATAAGTCACTAGTCAAGTATTATGCCCCTTTACACACACTCTCTCCCCCCCCCCCCCCCCCCCCCCCCAAAGTATGCTAGCAGTTTCGTATTTGGTGAAAAAAGTGCAGTTGAAGTAAAATTTCTTTTAGAGCTGGTAATAATCAGCCATCAAATAACAAAAGGTGGCTACAATTTATAAGGCATAAACCTCACCTAGAGCATTGATACCATAAAATTCTGCCTCGTGTCTGAGAGCTGATAAGTCGACATTTCTGAAAATAATTTTTTAACATAAACATTAAGTAAGAAAATGAAATAAAAATAAAAAAGAAATTCATTCAATCTGAATGTTAATGCTGTTCAATAATGTGCCAAGTTCACATTGAGGCGTTAGGAGAGAATATCTTTCCACTAATGACTTAATAAACCTACCTTAATTGGATTTCTTTAGTTCGGAGAAAGTTGAGGATAACAGAAAAAAGCTTGGGATCTCTGTCAATGAAAATCTAAAACAACAAGAGAAATATATTGGTGATAATAGAGGTGACAGATTGGTGATCATTGGGGTGTCAGATTGGTGATCATAGAGGTGACAGATTGGTGATCATTGGGGTGACAGATTGGTGATCATTGGGGTGTCAGATTGGTGATCATTGAGGTCTCAGATTGGTGATCATTGAGGTGTCAGGTTGGTGATCATTGGGGTGTCAGGTTGTTTGTTACAGCTTTTTCCTCATCTATTTAAAATGATCCTGTTTATCTTAATTAGCACTACTAAACATGGGCAGGATCAACAGTATTAAATAAATAAATAATACAAAATATACTTTATTGTCACAAGTCAAACATCTGCTTAATATACAAAAGTCAAAATTATTCTTTATAAACAAAAGTCAAAGATCTACTTAATATACAAAAGTCGAATATCAACTTAATAGTCATTAGTAAACATCTACTTACAGCACCGGTTTCATCTCTGTCTGAAGAAATTCGCCCACTGAGTAAACTGATGGAAAAAAAATTCAAAGTTTGCCAAGAATAAATTTGTAAACAAACTCAACATAATTCATAGTTTGTTGCCTTAGAAATATCAAACAAGAGTCTAGGATTTTTTCCAAGGGTATCGTTAGAGCTATCATAAAATAAAACAGGAAACATTCTTGAATTAGACAAGAAAATTATATGTAAGAATTTTTTTTTAAGTCTTAAATATTGTAGGCCAAAAAATACTTTAACATAAAGGCAATTAATTTATTGAAATATTCATATAGGCCTACAGACCAAATTGAATTTTTTTAATATGGAGGGAATCAGCCAATCTGGATTAAATCAATCTAGACATCTTTGTGTTATCCAAAAATGCCTGCTTCCTTGCATGAGCAACAACAGTCTTCAGACATTACATGCGGTTGTAAGAGATTTCTACTACAATTGTCTGCCCATATAGGCTATAGAAAGATTACAGCTACAAACTTACCTTGTGAAAAATGTTTCAGGATTCCAAGTTAGTGTTTGTTTTGAAGTTGAAAATCTAAGCAATAAAATAAAAAAAGAAATTAAATTAATTTATCTTTCAAGTAAATAGGGTTATAAAGTTTTTTTTCCATGAAATAATTGTTACAGAGAAAATGGGTTTTAATAAGAGCTGTATTATTGTCTATTAAAACAGTTTCTGAAGTTGACCTAAAAGTCTGTTGAATGTACAGTACATTTACATTGTACTAACCCTGTGTGACGTGTGTCATAATGTAGCCAATTATAATTAAGGCATTTAAGGCCTGATTAATTTGCATGGGTAATCAGGACTACTCTATACTTTTTTTGGTAAATGCATAGAGATGGCGCCACATGGCCACCTTAATTCTGTCACGAAACCTAACTAAATATATCCCTAAACTTAACCTGAACCCTAATTCACTGCATCTTTATTTAATAAAAATGCAAATGATGTCATGGCGGCATCTCTATGCATTACCCCCTTTTTTTTTACTAGGGCTAGAGTGGGTAATCTACCATTTGAGCTTCGGCCAAGAAAAAATCCAGTTGTTCCGTTTGGAAGGGCTATTTAAGCAACTATTCTTACATTGTAGGCACTCCAATACTTTCGCCGCCCGCGATAGAAAAACGAGGCCTGCCGAGCGGCGATCGCTGTGATCAGCAGGCGCTTTTCGTTTTCGGTAGATCTTGGTGATTAGTGTTGTTTTGCGTCATTTCTAAAAATAGAGGACTCTCCTTGGTTTTATTTAAATCTGCGATGCATGCCGGTTACGAGGGTATGAATTAAGTGGAAATCTGACCTTGCTGAGACGATTAATTGGAAAGTTGACGTGGGGTAAGTGAGTTTGCTGTGCTATATTTTTTTTTTCAAATCGCGTTCGGACTTGGAAATTACTTGTTCGCATAGATTATATATTTTAAAAGCAGAAACACTTATTTTAAAGAGTATAGATCGTCCCCAAAATTTATGAGAGCTTGAACCGTGTGACTAAAAATTCAAGGTTGCCAAGTCGTGGCCATTTTTTCCCCCTCGATCTACCGGAAGTGGTAAATCTCTAATGTAAACAGTGGTTATTATTATTTAAAACCTTTTTCAAACAACTAAATAAATATTTCCTGTATTATAACTTAGTAGTTTGATTTTAAATAAACTTTTTAATAACTGGTTTTTAATAATAATTACACTTTAGGCCTATATAGTTATTATATAAGAGCAGGCTTTGGATCAATAAAACTAATACATATACTGAGATAAAACAACAAAGTCAAAGTGATAAAAGTGCTTTGACATACAAATAGCAATGAATTAGATAGTAAGATATCCCCTAGTCCTAGTTATTATCAGCTATAAGTGTACATATAATAAAGAACATTGTGAAGCCTATTTAAAAATATTGAATCATTATTTACATGTACCGGTATTCATAAATTAATAGTCCTAATCTTTATTTTTTATTTTCCAGAGTTACAGATTGTAATCATTCCCTGTAATTTTGCTATGTATTTACTTGGAGGAGATCAACAAACAACCCAATTTGATATTGACAATGGAGGCATATTTTTTTAATGTACCAATCGATGAGGATGAAGTGTTGCTAGACCTCCGGAGCCGAAACAATGTCGACAGATTACATGACATTTTAAAATTTTGTATAGCATGATTTTAATTGCTTTTGATATATTTTAATACTCTATTATATTTGGTTGGACACTATCTATTTTTACTGAAAATTTGATTGCATTAGCTTTATTAGTTTAAAAGTTGTATATTTAAATGTAAAAAATTTCTCGGCCGCAGTTGCTTTTCATAAAATATTATTTCTAATACTGCATAAATTTTTCTGATCAGAATTTTATTTATTTTAAATATGCCTTACTTTTAGATGGACATTATCTGTTTGTATTGAAAATTTCATATTGATAGCTTTATTGGTTTAATAATTATGTCATTTTTTTAAGAAATTTTTTTTTTCGACAATTGTCGTTATCCATGCTATATGCTTATAAAATTTTTTTTTCAAAAAATATAATAAGTTAATTCAAAATTCATGTGTTTAATTTTGTTAAACATTGTATTGTAAATGTGTCCTCCAAATTTGAGCAGTCTAACTTTAAAAGCCAACAAGATACAACCAAAATAGTACAAAAAGAGTAATAATTCGATCACAGTTTTAAAAATTAAATACAAAGCCAAATAGTGGGAAAAAATAAATCACTAAAAAATTCATAACTTTTCTTCTATAAGTGATAGAAAGATTATCTTGGTGTCAATGGAAAGCTTAAAGTCAGCTCTTTCCAATGATATGCTCCTNAAAGCCAACAAGATACAACCAAAATAGTACAAAAAGAGTAATAATTCGATCACAGTTTTAAAAATTAAATACAAAGCCAAATAGTGGGAAAAAATAAATCACTAAAAAATTCATAACTTTTCTTCTATAAGTGATAGAAAGATTATCTTGGTGTCAATGGAAAGCTTAAAGTCAGCTCTTTCCAATGATATGCTCCTTGTGTATGTCAGATGTATCTGAAATTTTGAGTTGGAGTACCTATACATTGGAGTCTATTAATATTTTTGATTTCGTATAGGCTATTAAGTTATATACTGTAGCACAATACTAATACATTTAAATAATTATTACTGCCAAACTACAGATATGCCAGGAAGAAAAAGAGACTACAATTATTTTTTTGATCCAGATGACGCCGATGTCCAAACACAGAATGTGGAAAATGTGAATGCTCAAAAAGCGTAAACTGAAAAGACAGTTAGGCACAAGCGGTGATCTTTCCCCTTCACATTTACGTGGATTCATGTACCACAACCGTTTTAGTTGAAATTATATTTTTTAAAACTTCATAGTCAACTTGGGGGAATGAATACGTACAACCAATGTCATTAAAAAAATAATATAAGAATAGTTGTTTAAATAGCCCTTCCAACCGGAACAGCAGGATTTTTTCTTGGCCGACGCTCAAGTGGTAGATTACCATGGCATAGAGTAGGATTAGGCAAGGAACTAGATAGAATCCATACTAAAAGAGACTAGGACTAAACCAAGTCTCGGTACACTGAGTCTCAGTACTCAACTGTTTCTGAACACTGTACTGTACACTATCTATCTAATAATATGTACTAGGCTACTAACTACTAGGCCTAGGCCTAGGGTAACTAGGCCTAGGCTACAAAAATCGACAGACGAGAGGTAGACCATACAGCCAACAACAATATTAATAAGTTTCACCTTGTTCCCCCAACATTTAGATGTACGATTTCACTTGACATGGATTCAGCCATCATAACAAGAGACCTGTAGGTCTATAAAGAAAATAGAAAAATATTCTTTATTTATTTATCACCCTTCATTGTTGTCGCAAACCAGGAAAGAATGAGTAGAATAGACTGTCTTCCGCTACGGTAAAGAGGGATAACTACGGTTAACTACTTTATTTAGCTATAATTAAAAAAAATAATTTTTTATTTTCGGGGGCAGTCAGGGGGGTGGTTAGAATTTCGAAAGTAGATTGAGACAAGAATGTTAAAAATTAATATGAAGACCAATCTTAAGTTTTAGCCGAAATTTTTATCACATATACGAGTTTATGATTTGTCAAATGTGTGTGAGTGTGTGTAACGTGTAAAGTAAAGTGTAAAAATGTACTACTTACAATACATATTATTATCACCTAGTCTACACGCACACTTACAGAAATATTCATAATGCCTATATAATCAATTATTTATTGATGAAAAGAGGGGTGGAGACGCCATCGCAGCCTTCACCCCGAGCGCAACTTTTCCTCGGCACCTCCCACTCCCGGCTTACATATGAGCATGTATACTAAATGTGAGCAAATGTAAATGTAAGCCTTTCGCAAACGCTTAAACTAGATTTTGTATTTTGGGAGGGGGTGGGGAGGAGACAGACAGAGAGAGAACTTATTACTCAACTTAAAAAATCAATGATTATTTGGACTTTAAAAATGTGGGTTAAAATAAGTATAGGTAGATTAGAACATGTAGCCAAAGGAAGTACGAAGAAGGAGGATACAAAACAATGGCCGACGAACAAATACCGAACGAAAGCAACAGAACTATATTTAGACGAAGACTTGATAGAACCCCTGAAAAACATTTTGAAAAACTGCCAGAGAAGGAAAAAGTGGCGTTTAGTAATTTGCGAAAAGCTTTGGAAGAAGCAAAATTTAGAATTGTTCGGCTCAGAGACGAGAATGATGAAAAGTAAGTTTTTTATTTTATGAATCAATATCAGATATCATTATCATGAATCATTGACTGTGTTACTGTGTTTAAATTGACGTCATTGTTGATCATGAATCAGTCTGATCAATGAATCATAACTTGCCATAGTTTAAAGTTCTTGAAGTATTAATCATAGTTTCGGCATAGCCTACCCGACCCATCGTTTCATACTCTCACTGACACTAGTCAGTTATGTTGTATATTCATAAACATATTTACTCACAATCTCTACTCACTGCTACTCTCAGGCTCACAGATACTCATAATTTCATACTCAGTTAACCTGGTCTTGGGAGTCTAGAGGTTTAGTGACTGTATTTTGAAATAATTTGACATTCTTTAATTTTAAATTGATTACTAAATTCTAGCATATATTATATCATATTAATACTAATACTAATCATCAAATGACAAATATCATACACAATACAGGGAAATATGACTCATCATATTCATATTAATGAATATACACACCCTGACAGTGACACTGGGTAAAGAAAAACCTATAGTTATAGTGCTCCAGAAGGACAATACAAAAAAAATTACATGTTTCAGCTAAAGAGCCCTGGCTATACATAAACATAAATTCACTCAGTTGTGGTGCCTCTATGAGGGTATGTTTTTGGCCTCAGCTTAATTTCGCCTGTAAATTTTTGATAAATTCAAAATGCAGTGATGCATTTTGGTGCATACCTGAATTAGTTTTTCATCATTCAACACTTAATAGGCAGAAACAAAATAGATCCTAGTGAAAATTTAGGTTCCTTTGACATGGATGTGATTATTCAAATTCTTTTATTTTTAGTTATTACCAAAAAGGCTTAGTATGATTATTTTATAAAATAAATTTAAACTATTTAATCATTGTTATTTCATGATTAATTTATAATTAAGTTGATAAAGTTTACTTGAGTACTAGCCCTATGCCTATAAACTATACTGTAAAGTAGAATATAGACTATAGGCAATAGACTAACTATGACTACACTTGCAGTTCAATAGCAAAATTAAATTAATCATTAAAAAATAAATAATGAAAAATATTTTTAGAACTTTAAAAAAAAAAAGAATTTCTATCAAAGATGAATTAAAACCCACTAAAAAGTAGAAAATAATTTGCAATTTCTTAAAATGCATTATGCAAAGAAAGAATGTGCAGAAAATATTTTCAAAAATTAATAAAAATAAAACATATTTAAGTTTTATCTACATTCAATTCGAATCATTTGGCTACATAGACTGCTCAACTTCACATGATGAACACTGCAGGAGAAATTGTCAAATGTCAAATGTGTAAACAAAAAAAATAATGCTTCATCCACTCAAAAGATGGAAATGTGAGTAGAGAGAAAGTCTTTAATAATTCATTATTAAGCCTGAAAATAACAATGTTGCTAATTCTTCTAAAACTAAATAATAATTGTTAAAATTGTACATTAAACATCATATTTTATTGGTCCAATAATATTTTCTCATCATTTCCATTTATTTGGATCAATTAAAGACTCTTATCTTATCCTACTTGAGGGGTTGGGTTGGCATTTCCAAAAAAAGAGAGTGTGTGCAAGAAGATTTAGGCTATTCTTGTGTTTTTTACAATTTACAGAGTTTGTAAGTCATACCTCAATGTTACTTGGAGACTGTGGAATTGATAAAGAATTATTTTTCATTTCAGAGACTGTATAATTGATGAAGAAAGGTTATTGAGGAAATTGGCTGAAGACAAACTTCAGAATATTTTAGTAGACCTGTACAACAACCCAGAAGTCAATTCTGAGCTACGTCAACGTTTGCCAAGGGCAAATAAGAGTGATCCTCTTCATAAAGCTACAGCAGCTCATCAAAGAAATGGGGATCCATTTGTGGAAAATAATTTTGTCAGTCTTCCTAAGGGGAATCAATCTCTTTACCTAGATAAGATGTTGGTAGAGAATAGAGCAAGGTACAGATCTTTAAAAAAAAAAATTAACTTGTAATATAGCTTATTTTTTCCTTTGCAAACAAAACAAACACACTGATATTAATCACGTTAAGGCAAGTCATCTAGATTACTTATGACTGGGACTGAGTTTAGATGTAAATACAGTGGAACCCTGCTATAATGCGAATATTGGAGTCCATAAAATGGGATTACTTCAAGAATATAATGGCCAGGTTTTACTTTTTTTTTTGGTCAGAATACAGATGGGATTTTTTAAAGTTGGAAGATAGCTGATTTTGTTCAAATAAATTATTGTTAAAATCTCATGTAGTTAATGAGCTGTGGAGTTAAAGTTGGATTAGTCATTGTGTAATATGAGTAGTTATATATTTTTATAATTTTTTTTTGTCCACTGATACTTATATCTGAATTTGCAGGCATGTAATAGCAAGGTTCCACTGTGTAACATTAATTTTATTATGATGCTTTAATATATTCAATTAATTATTTTAGAACTGAACCATACTTGCCATGTAGTTTAGAATTTGTGTGCTTATAATGTATAGATCTAACAAAGTTTGTCTGCATCTAATGTAGAGATCTAACAAATTTGTCTGCTTTTAATATCGAAATCCAACAAAATGTGTGTTCTTCCAATGTAGAGGCTTATCAGAATTTTGATGACTACATCCCTTGCATCTAAACATGAGAATTTCCAGGATTATTTCAGTCTCACTGACCATGATGCTATTTTATAAACCTTTACAGAAAAGAAATTCACAAAAGTGAATTTTTCGACAAATAAACACTTTGACCGGCAATATGTGCTTTTGGCAGTTAAAGTGCAAGGGACAATGTGATCTTTGTAAAAAAAATGCAATACTTACTTAGAAGTAGTTTATTTATATTAATGTGTTGTGAGAATGCTTATGAACTGTTCTTTTCTTGGAGCATTTGATTATAACAATGAACATAAATTCTCTATGCTTGTGTCCGTCTCAATGCTTGTAGAATTAACAGCTAGCACTGTGCTGATTTGTTTTTTAACAAGCTTGTTAACACCCCATTGCTTTACAGAGAAGATGTTAACAAAAGTTACCCCGTAGCATTAGCAAATGAGGCTGAAGGTAAGTTGTTCAATAGTTTAGTAAAAAATGATTGCTCCTACCACATTTCAGCCAGTACAAAGCAATCATTGATTTTAATTGGTATACCATTAACCCATTACTAACTAATATATTAAACGCTATCATTGATATTTCCTTAACCTATTATTTAGTCATCAATAATCTGCAGTGATAGATTTTGATTGCACTACCATTGAGGCAAGATGACTGATTGATCAAATATAACCAGTCTTGTGTGACTAACCAAATGATTAATGTGGTGACATCAAATATAACCAATCTAGTGTGACTTACCAAATGATTAATGTCGTAACATCATATATAACCTGTCTAGTGTGACTGTCAAGATCATGAAATCAGGCGTGGTGTGTTTGAGTGGGAAGTGGGGATGAACAGGGCTTAGGAGCGAGAGTGAACTATTTTCATGTACTGGTGAACGATGTTGGAGTGAACGATTGAATGAAAGGGGGAGTGAGAGGAGAATAATTATTATGTCACGGGGAGTACGTTAACAGAGGTTAGACGAGAGATAGGACTCGCGACAGCGAGACGTCTTTTTGGAGATAGTGGATTTTGTCATGATATGTTTTGCTGATTGGAATATTGCCATATACTTTGGATTCATGTTCACGAAACTTTGAGACACATTAATCTAGTAATGCTGTCAGCAAATAAATGTCTTATGTACCTTGAAGCGTATTGTTTTGATGAATCAACCTAGTCTGTTGTGTGACAAGATTCACAAGAGATTAAACCAAAGCGAGAATCATAAACCTAAACAACGAGCCAAATATTCAACAACTAGAATATTTGACATGGGGGCCCGTCGTTGGAGCTGAATCGTGGACCTCTCGACTATTCTGTTCCTGTGTACCGGACGTTTCCTGTGTGGGTTGCCGTATCCTGTGGCGTTACTGTATCCTGTGGCGTTACTGTATCCTGTGGCTTGCTGTATCCTGTGGCTTGCCGTATCCTGTGGCGTTGCTGTATCCTGTGGCGTTGCCGTATCCTGTTGCGTTGCCGTATCTTGTGTGGTTGCATGATCCTGCTGGCTACCATACCCTGTTGGTCGCCTTACCGCTGTCCAGAACAAGTCAACTACAGACAAGACCGGGTAATTAAATTAGTAAATAAGTGTGTTGTCACATGATGATCAATTTGTAACACGCAATTGTACAGTTAGATTAGTGGTGTGACGTGTACTTATTGAACGTGGGGTTGGTACGATAGGAATAGAAACGGGAAAATGAAGACAATAGAAGAAATTCAGCAGGAGGCGATAGCGTTAGGATTAGAAGGGAAAGAGGTTATAAAGTATGCCATAGACAAATTAGATAGACTAGAAAGGGAGGAAAGAGCAGCAGAGAGAGAGAGAGAGAGATTAGGTAAGAAAGAACAAGCAGAAAGGGAGGAAAGAGCAGCAGAGAGAGAGAGAGAGAGATTAGATAAGAAAGAAAAAGCAGAAAGGGAGGAAAGAGCAGCAGAGAGAGAGAGATTAGATAAGAAAGAAAAAGCAGAAAGGGAGGAAAGAGCAGCAGAAAGGGAGGAAAGAGCAGCAGAGAGAGAGAGATTAACTATTAAGGAACAATTAGATAGAGAATCACAGGAGAGAACCGAAAGAATGAGAGTAGAAACAGAGGGGAGGACTCGTCCTGCTCAGGACAGTGATAGGGGTCACAAATATCAACAACTAAACAAAAACTTACAAAACTATGATGGGATAATCGATTTAAACAGTTACCTTATCTCATTTCAAGATGTAGCAAACAAATGTGGTATCCCAATTAGGGAATGGGTTCAGGAACTGCGATTAAAAATGACCCCCTCCCTACATGAGTTCCTGACGACAGACAGTATTAGGAGCATAGAAACTGATTATGAGACAGTGAAAAGAAAGTTGCTAACACAAGCGGGATTCCACAGTGAGCAGTACAGAAATAGATGGAACACTTTAACCCCAAACAGCGAGAATTTTAGACAATTTCACTCAGACCTCAACAGAAACTTAGAGAATTGGGTAAAATTCAGTGAAACGGAGAGAACTTATGAGGGGTTATGCGACCTTATGTGCCAGAATCAGATTTTAACACATCTGAATAGTGCAAGCAGACAATCTGTCTTGCTAATAAAACCTAATAACTGTGAAGACATTCTTAAACATATAGACACTTTAAAAATAAACACTCAGGGCTCTATCACTATATCTAAATCCCAACCAACACCTTACGTTGAAGGAGGTGCTGCGAAGGTGGACAATATAAACGGGAATAGAAGTAGAAATAGTTATGAAGTTAACTTCCCAATCTGCCAAAACTGTGGAGAAAAGCATGCACCCAATTACTGTCCAAATAGGAGTAGTGGTCAGATAAGGCGTGGATACAACCAAAGAGTGCAACCTGACAGATACACCAATAGGAACTTTTTCAATACAAGACAGAGACCAACCCAATGGTGACTAAAAAATATTACAAAGTCAGACAAAAGAAAACAGTTCAGGAAAAGGGATTCACACAAATTTGAAGTGCAAAAGGTGAATAGCTTTGAGAATATTTGTAATAACTCAGTGGGAACTTTAAAGATAGAGCGCGGAAAACTTTTTGGGAAAGATATACAAATTCTTAGGGACACAGGATGTACCATAGTTGTGTGTAGAAGTAGTTTAGTACCAAAAGATAAGATAACAAGGCAGACTTACAGTCTGAGACTGATAGAGGGATCAAGGAGAACCGTCAAGACCGCTCTGATAGATATAGAGACACCGTATCTGACCGGTACTTATTTAGCCGCACTTATTGACAATCCAGTTGCTGATCTGATAATTGGAAATGTTACGCCAACAAGGACTCAAACAATACATGCATCAGCAGTCACCCGTGAACAAGCAAGGAAAGTGTTAACAGATGACTCAAAACCAGGACAATCAAAACAAATACTACCGAATTTAGAAGCGGACCTAAATATAGCGGGGGAACAACAGGAAGACAAAAGTCTCGATAAACTTTGGCTAAAAGCCAAGAAACAACATATTGAGGTTACTAAACAAGGGGAGATTAGTTTTGAAATTAAAGATAAAATATTGTACAGAATTTTTAGGCACCATAACACGCCGTATAAAATCGAAAAAAAATTGGTGATACCGGAGAAAAAGCGCAAAATTATTTTGGAAACTGCCCACGCCACCCCTCTAGCCGGACACATGTCCGTGCGAAGAACAAAAAATAGGATAACCTCGGAATTTTTCTGGCCAAATATTAATAAGGATATTACTCAATATGTTAAATCATGCCCAATTTGTCAGAAAGCTCGATCTCCGGGAAATGTCAAACAGATACCACTAGGACAAACAGAAACTATAGGAATTCCATTTCAGAAGGTAGCTATAGATATTGTAGGACCGTTACAAACGACATCACATAAGAATAGATATATTCTGACACTAATAGACTTAGCTACTAGATGGCCAGAGGCAATCCCGCTTAGGTCGATTAGGTCAGTAGATATTCAAGAAGCATTATGGACAATCTTTTGTCGAATGGGCTTTCCGGAAATAATATTATCCGACAATGGTCCACAATTTAAGGCTGAACAGTATCAGGAAGTTTGTAAACTTTTAAATATAAAGGCAACAAAATCGTCTATTTATCACCCCCAATCCAATGGCGCGGTGGAAAGACTTAATGGAACAATTAAGGGAATGCTAAGAAAGGTAGCTAGCCAAGAACCCAACAACTGGGACATATATTTACCCGCAGTACTATTTGCGTATAGAGAAGTACCCAATGAAACAACTATGTTCTCACCCTACGAACTCATGTTCGGCAGGAAACCAAGAGGTCCTATGAAAATTTTGAGAAATCTACTCACTAATGAAAACCTGACTACAGACATCAAACCAGTGTATGAATATATCATAGACCTGAAAAATAGATTAAAAACTGCACTTGATGTAGCAGTACTCAATACCGAGGTACAAGCAAAGAAGAATAAGGTATATTTTGATAGAGGAACAGTACAGAAGAAACTTACCGTAGGCGAATATGTGTTGGTCTTAAAACCAAAGAAAGGTAACAAACTACTGCTATACTCAGAAGGGCCATATGTAGTCACCAGGATTATCTCCCCATACAATGTAGAAATAAAAAAGGGTAATAAATATAAAATTTACCACTTAAATAGAGTGAGTAAATATTATGAAAGAAACGAAGATCTGAACATTATCACACCGAACGAAACAAATATTGTTCATGGAGCGTCAGTAATAACCGAAGACACTCAGGACGACATATCTGTACAGGAATTAGAATTACCTACACTTTCCCGTAACAGTGACAACAAAGAGATAAAGATAGATAACAATCTAACGCATGAGCAGAAAAAAGAAATAAACAGTATCCTACAAGAATTTAAAGATGTAATATCGAACGTACCGGGTAAAACAACAGTGGGGTCACACAAAATAGAGTTAACAGACCAAAAACCTATAACAATTCGTCCATACATAATACCATTCAATATGCAGGGAAAGTTGGAAGAAGAATTACGTATGATGTTAGAACTAGGAATCATAGAAGAGTCACAATCCCCGTACTCTTCACCTCTATTACTAGTAAAAAAGAAGGATGGCTCCATCAGAACATGCGTGGACTATAGGAAATTAAACGCAGTTACCAAGATGGTGGCAGAAGTTATACCTAACCAGGAACAAATACTAGCAAAACTCAATAAAGCTACCTATTTTACTAAACTTGATTTAACTAAAGGATATTGGCAGATCCCTTTAGAGAAGGAAAGTAAGGAATACACTGCATTCAGAGGACCCACGGGACTATATCAATACAACTACATGCCATTTGGGCTGGCAACTGCACCAGTGACGTTCAATAAAATAATAAGAAAACTATTTGAAGGGGTTACTAACGTAGTAAGCTACTTTGATGATATCTGTATATTTACAGATAACTGGGAAACGCATGTAAAAAGTATCAGAGAGGTGTTGTCAATTCTAAAAAGAGCAGGGTTGACTATAAAACCATCGAAATTAGAATTAGGGAGACAATCCATAGAATTTCTAGGACACACCATTGGCAACGGAGCCATTAAACCGAATAAAAACAATGTGGACAAGATACTTAACATAGAAGTACCAACAACGAAAAAACAAGTTAGAGGGTTAATCGGGGTAATATCATATTATAATAAATTTATCCCAAACTTCTCTACTCTAACAACGCCATTATCTGATCTAACTAAGAAGGGGAAACCCAATAAAATTACATGGTCTCAGGAATGCAGTAAAGCCCTAGAGAAAATACAAACTTTCTTGACACATGATCCCATACTAATCCTTCCAGATAATAATAAAGCTTTTCTTGTAAGGACGGACGCCTCAGTCACTGGTATAGGGGCTTGTTTATTCCAGTACAAACAGTCTATATTACACCCGGTAAAATATGTCAGTCGAAAACTACTACCCAGGGAGACTAGATATTCGACCATAGAAAGAGAATGTCTAGCCATTATTTGGGGAATCCAGAAACTCAGGTATTACCTTATGGGAGCCAGGTTTACTTTACAATGCGATCACCGAGCACTACAGTACTTGAAAACCGCCCAGTTTTCAAATTCTAGAATTACAAGATGGGCATTGATATTGCAAGAGTACAATTTTGATGTTAATTACATCAAAGGAGAAGTAAACAGTATAGCGGACTTTTTGTCCAGACAATAATGGACACAGGTCTTTATGATAAGTGGTAAAAGCATAAATTACGTTGCATAAATGGCCTATGAAGGGCTGTGGGATGCTTTAAAATAAAGAGAAAAATTATACCAATTGGATTCCTCGTGAAGGAATAGAGGTAGTGAGAGAATACAAAGGGACGATTGTGTAATAAAAGTGTTGAATTTGAATAAAAGATGAATTTCTTTTGAAGTACAATATGATTCTGTACATACTGGATAATATTAATAATAAATTATGTCATGTGAGGTTCGGGACAAATTTGTTCTTGTAAAATTTGATCGTGTTATGGAGATGAGTTGTTTTTTTTGTTGTTGTTTTTTTGGTCGTGTTTATCATGTGTATGATGCTGTGTAGGGCCTATGTCATAAGAGCAGGGAGTGCTCCAGATTTGAGCTGATTGAGGGGTTTGGGGTTTGGGTAAGAATATCAGGTACTCCCATGAGATGAGAAGGGAAGACTGTAAATTTTCTTGTACTTTGTTGTGTGTACAGCTGGTCAACTGACGGCTGTCCACAGAGATTAACGATGTTCAAATATTTGATTTTGTGTTCTTATTTCTCTGTGCTCAATAGTCTGTGATTGTAAATATTGATAGACATGCTGATGAAATGTGGGTAGTCTTATTATTATTGTAGTGATTTCATGTATCAAATTATTCCGATGTTATTACTATATAAAATTATGTAAAAATTGAATGATTTCATGACATGATCTCAGTTATAACGATTCTACTATGAGTAGAATCTGGAAAGGAAAGGGGGGAGATATGTCAAGATCATGAAATCAGGCGTGGTGTGTTTGAGTGGGAAGTGGGGATGAACAGGGCTTAGGAGCGAGAGTGAACTATTTTCATGTACTGGTGAACGATGTTGGAGTGAACGATTGAATGAAAGGGGGAGTGAGAGGAGAAGAATTATTATGTCACGGGGAGTACGTTAACAGAGGTTAGACGAGAGATAGGACTCGCGACAGCGAGACGTCTTTTTGGAGATAGTGGATTTTGTCATGATATGTTTTGCTGATTGGAATATTGCCATATACTTTGGATTCATGTTCACGAAACTTTGAGACACATTAATCTAGTAATGCTGTCAGCAAATAAATGTCTTATGTACCTTGAATCGTATTGTTTTGATGAATCAACCTAGTCTGTTGTGTGACAAGATTCACAAGAGATTAAACCAAAGCGAGAATCATAAACCTAAACAACGAGCCTAATATTCAACAACTAGAATATTTGACAGTGACTAACCAAATGATTATTGTCGTAACATCAAATATAACCTGTCGAGTGTGACTAACCAAATGATTAATGTCATAACATCAAATATAACCAGTCTTATGTGATTAACCACATGATTAATGTCTAACATAAAATTTAAGCGGTCCTGTGGCGCTGCCTGAGTAGATGTAACAAGACATCAAAGCCGCCGTTGTTTGTCCTAATGAATATTTTAGCATTATTTGCCATCCACTCGTAGCTATTTATGTCATAATTTAAAAGCAGGTCTTTTCGAGCATGGATAATATGTTCAACAATATGTTGGTATTTAGTCACTAAATGCACTTGATAATATGTTCAACAATATGTTGGTATTTAGTCACTAAATGCACTTGATAATATGTTCAACAATATGTTGGTATTTAGTCACTAAATGCACTTGAGTTGATTACTGTTGGTTAAATTACTTGCCCTACCTCATTTTCTGTTTCGGGTTGATCCTGAAGTGTCAAAGTGTCCTCGTTTTATAGCCATTTTCATTGTTTCTATAGAATAGTAGTTACTATCCTAGTGTCTCATTTGTATTTACTTAGTTTACATGTTTTAATAATTGTAAAGCGCTTAGAGCTTTATGATAAGCGCTATATAAAAATGCCTAAATAAATAAATAAATAAATAAATAAATAAAAAGATGTCCTTATTTTTTTTGTGTATGAACTTTGTTGCTTTTCAGAGGATTTTTTTTACAGAGGATGACACTACATTATAGTTCTTTGTAAATCAAACACTAACGCTGCTTACAGGTCATTCTGAGATTGACAGATATTTGGCCACATCTGACCATGAACTGCAGACAGACTCGGCCTACCAAGGGCTTCAACCTGGCAACAGACAGACGAACAGACTTTCCAATGAAGACACTCAAAGTTCCCAAAGCATCTTGAAAAGCTCAGTGGGCATAACTCCATCTTCAAGCATCTCGCCCCTGGTGCAAGTGCCGACCAATGCTCTGTCGTCTGCCAGCTTTAGCAGTACCGATTCTTCCTCATACCAGCCTCTACCATCCTTCCATCAAATAGGTAAGTCTTCATTCTGCCATCATTCCACTAGCAAAGTGGTAAGTCTTCATTCTCCTATTCCACTAGCAAAGTGGTAAGTCTTCATTCTCCTATTCCACTAGCAAAGTGGTGAATCTTCATTCTCCTATTCCACTAGCAAAGTGGTAAGTCTTCATTCTCCTATTCCACTAGCAAAGTGGTAAGTCTTCATTCTCCTATTCCACTAGCAAAGTGGTAAGTCTTCATTCTCCTATTCCACTAGCAAAGTGGTAAGTCTTCATTCTCCTATTCCACTAGCAAAGTGGTAAGTCTTCATTCTCCTATTCCACTAGCAAAGTGGTAAGTCTTCATTCTCCTATTCCACTAGCAAAGTGGTAAGTCTTCATTCTCCTATTCCACTAGCAAAGTGGTAAGTCTTCATTCTCCTATTCCACTAGCAAAGTGGTAAGTCTTCATTCTCCTATTCCACTAGTCCACTAGCAAAGTGGTGAGTCTTCAATACTCTCTCTCTACCATGGCTCAGGTCACCCCATCGGAGATGCCAAAATGTTATATTGCACTTATGATACCATTATATATATATATATACACACACACATATATATATATATATATATAGTTCTATATAAATGAAAAGAAACAGTCAAATTAAATTAGCTGCTGAAATCTGCAGTTTTCTATGTAGTTATAGTGTAGTCACAGTTTAGTTGCAATAATAAACTAGCCCCATCCCTGTAGTGTAGTAGCAAGTATGAACGAGTCACATCACTGTAGTCTAGTTGCAAGTGTAAACGAGTCACATCACTGTAGTGTCGTTGCAATAATAAACTAGCCCCATCCCTGTAGTGTCTTTGCAATAATAAACTAGCCCCATCCCTGTAGTGTAGTTACAAGTATAAACGAGTCACATCTCTGTAGTGTAGTTGCAAGTGTAAACGAGTCACATCACTGTAGTGTAGTTGCAAGTATAAACTAGCCCCGTCCCTGTAGTGTCGTTGCAAGTGTAAACGAGTCACATCACTGTAGTGTAGTTGCAAGTATAAACTAGCCCCATCCCTGTAGTGTCGTTGCAAGTGTAAACGAGTCACATCACTGTAGTGTAGTTGCAAGTATAAACTAGCCCCGTCCCTGTAGTGTAGTTGCAAGTGTAAACGAATCACATCACTGTAGTGTTGTTGCAAGTATAAACTAGCCCCGTCCCTGTAGTGTAGTTGCAAGTGTAAACGAGTCACATCACTGTAGTGTAGTTGCAAGTATAAACTAGCCCCGTCCCTGTAGTGTAGTTGCAAGTGTAAACGAGTCACATCACCGTAGTGTAGTTGCAAGTATAAACTAGCCCCGTCCCTGTAGTGTAGTTGCAAGTGTAAACGAGTCACATCCCCGCAGTGTAGTTTCAGTGTGTAATGAAGGTGGTACAATAAAATAAAAATTCAAATAAAAACAACAACCCCAAATTGCTGGAGTCCTTAAGGGACCGCTGGCATATTTGCTTGTGACACCCCCCACCCCCCCAGGGTTTTTGAGCCACACATTAAGAACCACTGATCTAAAATGATCAGCTCTATCTTACTCATGATTTTCAATATATGTTGAATATTACCTTTAATTTTTTCAACTAATGAAATGGTATACCCCTTAGGTCAGCCAAGCCTTGCAAATGGTGCACTAAGCACTGCCAACAGTTCATCCAATGATTACAGCAGAGCCACCATACCGCAGGGAACTGCAACTCTTGCCTTACAATCTCTGCACAAGGATCCCGGCACATATACAACTCATCCCTCCGTTGGGAGTGTTGCAATTCGAGATGGTCAGTCATCGGATGGGAGGCTTGTCAGTGACCAGCGACCTGCAGATACTATTTTTTACTCCAGACAACAGCCCACAGAGATTAGGTTGACCAATGGCCAACCAGCAGACAGGCTACTCGGTGACCAGGCCGTGCCTTCTAACGTCCATCACCATCATAACCCTGTGACAGACGACGTACGCTTTCTAACTCAGCATCCTAGAGATTTCAGTAATAGCACACATCCCCCAACGGACCCCAGGGCCCAGCCCACAGATTTGAGATTAGCCTACAATTACCCTACAGACCCCATCGGTTCAACCAGGGACCGGCCTTCAGACCCGACAAATGGTCAGCCCCAATGGTCGGCAACTGTTCCTTCAGGAGCTCAGATGTCCTATATCCCGGCATATCCCTTACAATATCCCAACCTACCCACACTTCCCTCGGCCGCGCCCCACCATTACCAGTACATTCTTAGCAACAACTCTACCATCCCACCAGCGCCTTCACTTCCTGCCAACAGTTACTCCTTTCCCTACTACCAGTCCATTGTCCCAGTTGAGGGAGCTAATCCCAGGTCTAATCAAGAGGGAGTCGTCAATGTTAGCCACGTGTCTAGGCTACTAGCTGAAATAGCCACACTCAAGAAGGAAAATCAAGAGGTTAGAAGGATATTTTGTATTTATATTCAGTTGGTAAAATTAATTGACTTATTAAATTCTGAACTCATTTGTGTTAATTAAGAAAGGTTTTACACAATTAATTGACTTATTAAATCCTAGACCCAGTTTGTATTAAGTAAAGTCAAGGTTTTACACAATTAAATGACTTATTAAATCCTAGACTGATTTGTATTAAAGTGATTGTGCTAAGTAAAGTCAAGATACTCTGCAGTTCATAGAAGGTGTCTGTGATGGATGCATTAATTATTTTGTTACCTAGGTATAAGATATGTTGGTGTTGTATACAAACAAACAAAAATAAGTAAAATATAGGGGTTCATATTTATTTGTCTTGTGAAGTCTTATTCTGAACATTGTCTTGTGAAGTCTTATTCTGAACATTGTCTTGTAAAGTCTTATTCTGAACATTGTCTTGTGAATTCTTATTCTGAACATTGTTTTGTGAATTCTTATTCTGAACATTGTCTTGTGAATTCTTATTCTGAACATTGTTTTGTGAAGTCTTATTCTGAACAAGTTTGATTTCTTGACCAGCTGAGAAACCAGTTGAAGAATGCCAAGCAAGACATCGTACTACTTCAGTCCGACATTAAAACTGGCCAGGAGGATAGTCTCAATACTGTTGGAGGTGAGTAGGTTAGTCAGGTATTCCATTGCATCTTAGATATTGGTTCAATTGTTAGGTATTGGGTCATATGTCATGTCAGATATTGGGTCACATGTTTGGTATTGGGCCATTTGTAATGTCAGATATTGGGTCACATGTTAGGTATTGGGTCATATGTCATGTCAGATATTGGGTCACATGTTAGGTATTGGATCATATGTCATGTCAGATATTGGGTCAGATGTAAATTAGAAGATAGCATATATTTGTTAACAGCTCTGATTGCTGATGTTCATGCTGCCGAGAAAAAGCGAGATGAGGCGGTGAAGAGGTTGGTGAGATCAGCTGACAAGGATAAAACGGCCGCCCTAGGAGAACTTGACCGCATCAAACTGAGCAACATGTAAGTATATAGCTGGCCAACATATAGATATACGGTTAGCCAATGTGTCAGGTTCAGGTTGGCCAACATGTAAGTATAGAATTGGCCAACATGTAAGTATAGAATTGGCCAACATGTAAGTATAGAATTGGCCAACATGTAAGTATACAATTGGCCAACATGTAAGTATACAGTTGGCCAACATGTAAGTATACAGTTGGCCAACATGTACCCTTAAAATGATAATCCCCGTGCTGAATTCTTTGAGTCTACTTGACTTGGTTATTTCTGGTATGTTGCAGGTCCAGCCACAAGAGAAGTTTGTCTGAAAGTGACATTTCAGAGGCAGAGGTAAATAACACTTACTTGATAGATGGTGAGGATGTGTTAAGGACTGCCTAAACAAGTACTTGATAGATGTTAAGGATGTGTTCTTTAGAGCTGCCTACACAAGTACTTGATAGATGTTAAGGATGTGTTCTTTAGAGCTGCCTACACAAGTACTTGATAGATGTTAAGGATGTGTTCTTCAGGGCTGCCTACACAAGTACTAAATAGATGTTAATGATGTCTTCTAGGCTGTCTACACTAGTACTAAATAGAAGTTAATGATGTGTAAAGGGCTGCCAACACAAGTACTTGATAGATGTTAATGATGTGTTCTTAAGGGTTGTCTGCATTAGTACTAGATAGATGTTAATGCTGTGTTCTTCATGGCTGCCTACACAAGTACTAAATAGATGTTAATGATGTGTTCTTCAGGGCTGCAAACACAAAATAACAAAATATACAGAAATTTTTTTCTTAAATTAACCTCCATAATTTTTTCTCACACAAAAATTTTTTTTTTACAGACTTAAAAAGCTTATTTCAAAGTAATATAACTATGAGGTTATGAAAAGTTTTTAAAAAAAATCTGTTATCCATATGATTATGTTTCTATGACTCTTCCTCAAATAAACGTATCACTATATTTCTACGATGAGGCATGAGCCTATTTTTTTATTAATAGTTTAGGACATTGTCACCAATATTGGATATCTCCTGATTATGATCGTACAAGTTTAAAGCAAGCAAGCTTTTACAATGCCTCATTTTTTTAAATGGACATCCTAAGGTCTAAAATTTGTATGAACATTAACAGACAGTTAATTGTAGGTCAAATTTTTAAGGACTGCCCTTAAAATTATGGACTGTTGACAACCCTGGATGTGGGATAGATAAACGAAAGGTCTGGCAGATGCGGGATAGATAAATGAAAGGGTCTGGCAGGTGTGGGATAGAGGGGTCAGTGTCGGATACAAATACTTTCTAGGGGTAGGGTCCTCCTTCACAACAGCCACAGAAGCAATTATAGAATCTAAAACTCCCTTCCTTCCTGGCCTCCACTTGGAGGATGTGTATTAGTCATCGAAACATAAGACGTTTAAAAATGTCAGGCTTCTTTAAGTACGGTACTTTGTACACATGACAGTTACAATATATAATAAACATTTACTTGCATTTCAGAAGAAGCAAAATATATTTTTAAAAATTCTAAATGTTCTGTTGAATATTTTGATTAAATGTGCTGACATATTGAATATCATCCATCCCTGTGGCACTGCATCCCATGTAGGGCTTTGGTCTGCCTCACTTCTTCCTTCCACTCACACCTGACTAATGCTTTTCTTTTCCATGCTTGGATTCCCAGCTGCTGTAGATCTTTTCCCACATCATCCATCCATCTAAGCCTAGGCCTGCCTATGAGTCGTTTTCCTCTAGGGTTGTGGTGATGTACCCTCTTCACTCCTCTGTCATTTTGCATTCTCTCTAAGTGTCCTGCCCAGCGTAGCCTACCCTTTTTTTTTATATTTCTGCTACTAGCGTGGGATCCTGATATAGACTATACAATGCCTGATTGGTTCGTATTCTCCATCCATATTCATTCTTTGTTAGTCCATATATTTTCCGGAGAACTTTTCTCTCCCATGTGTCTAATAGGTTTTATGCCATTAGGATCCAAGTTTCAATTGCGTATGTTACAACTGGCGACATTTTGAATATGTTAGATTAAATGTGCTGACCGATTGTACATTTTTGATGACTTCTTAAAAGCAGAGTTCAGTGTCATTGCCCAGTCAATCAAGGGCAGAGCACTCTAAAGATTCTACATCCACTAGAGTTTACCTAGAGCAGCTTGTCAGCAGACAGAGAGAAATCATGAAGGAAGAGATGCAGAGGGTGATAGACCAGAGAAATGAGGCCAGACAGAAGGTGGGTCTGTAGGTCAGTAGGCCTACATCTGCTAGATTTTGTTACTTTAGGGAGTAAGAGAGCGATGGGATCTGATGGTGGGCACCTTTGGCTTATTTCTAACATATGACTCAACTGGTCATTGTTGATGTAAGTTATGATATGACTCAACCGGTCAGTGTTGATGTTAAGACATGATTTGAATCAACTGGTCATTGAGGGAACTAAAGTGTAAGACAGTGATGGCATTGAAATATTTTTTTATCTTTTGCAGCTTCTAAACTTAGAGAACAAGTTTTCAGCTTTACAGATGTCCAAGGCTTCTGATACAAAGCTGGACACATTGATGGTGAGTGAGGAGAGATCTCCTCTTCCTTACACACTATTCTTTAAAGGGGAGATTTATTTATGTACCTCTGTTTATTCTTTGACGGGAGATGTGCACACTGTTTCCTCCATGAAGGGGAAATCTATTTCTTACACACTATTCCTTAAAAAAAAAAGTGGGAGATTTCTTTGTTAAACTATGTTCTATGGAAGGGGGGGTATTTTTTTTGTTTCTCTCTGTTTTTTCTTAGAGGGGAGATCTCTTTCTTACACACTATTCTGAGGTGGAGATTTCTTTGTTACCAACTATTTATTCTATTCAACTCCTTGGTATACTCATAAATAAGCTTAGGTATCAACTCCTAGCTATACTCATAGATGGTAGTTGGACTTTATTGCAGTTCAGTTGCAAGGACGTTGAAGTGAAGCTCAAATGAAGGCTCTTTTTTGGCTTCAGGATAGAATGGCCTGACCAATTAAGCTGCTGTACCCTTCACTGTGTTTGTCTTAAAGTTTTCTCGCTTCCCAAGTGTGCCCTACTTAATGTTTATGTCTCAGGGTTGCAAACGGGTCCATTCAACCCAGAGGCTAGTCATTAAATGCGGATGGTAGTGAGAAAAAATTATTTTATTTCATCATTGTATACTTTTAAATAAATTAATTTATTCCGTCATTGTATACTTTTAAAGAAATTAATTAATAAATTGTTTCTTCTCTAAATATTTAAAACTGCCATATTCAACTGCAATCAAGCGTCATTCAACTGTCTTTCAAATGTTTGTAGTGATAAGATTTGAATTAACTTCATCTTCCTTCTCTATTAAACAGGCCAAATTAAAGTTAACTGAGAGAGAACGGGATCTCCTTTTGGCCAAACTGCAGTTTTTGATGCGGGACATTGGTGAAACTAAGCTGGTGTACAAGTGAGTGTACATTGGTGAAACTAGGGTGGTGTACAAGTGAGTGTAAATTGGTGAAACTAAGCTGCTGTACAAGTGTGTGTACATTGGGAAAACTAGGGTGGTGTACAATTGAGTGTACATTGGTGAAACTAAGCTGGTGTACAAGTGAGTGTACATTGGTGAAACTAAGCTTGTTTGCAATGGTACCGGTAACTTGCATTGTTGAAACCAAGCTAGTGTAGACATTTGTCACAGATAGTTGTGTTCAGCCAGATCGGCCTGCACAACATACGGCCCACGGGCCGCATAGCACCCACTTGGCGGCCTGTGAGGTAATGAAATATTCTTTATTATTATTATTTTTCTTAATAGCTTTCCTCCCATCCTTTCATCATTCGGCCCGCACAAGTTTTTCATGACGTATTATGGCCCGCACAAGTTTTTCATGACGTATTATGGCCCGCACAAGCTTTTCAAGACTTATTATGGCCCGCCTTACATTTTGATTTGTGCAGGCCTGAGCTAGGTGACGGGTTAACTAAAGCTTTCCCAGTATTCAAATAAGAATTCCTTTATTGTTAACCCTTTCATTACCGGACCTCAGATTGTTTAAGTCAGGAATTCCACATTTGTTTTTGACTTAGGTAGGTAGATCATGTTACATGTGCACTGACTGTGATTTTTAAGGGCCATAATTGACGGGGAAAAGGCTAGTAAAGGCATGACTTGTGTCATTAATAGTACAATGTTAGAACCATTGCTATTATGGACATTGCTGCTGTGAGCACAGTTAACACCCTAGGCTTGTCATGCATTGTAACTCTGATGGGAGTAAATTGGCAGGAGAAACCAACCAATGGGGCGGCTTGATTCTGATCATGTGAGAACGTAAGATTAAATGTGAAGGACGGTTGAGAGTTTTTTTGTGTGGACAGGAGGATGAGAATTGAGACAGTGAGAGTGTCATGTCATGGATTCAGTGTTTAATTCATTGCATTGTATTTTATCTAAACTTGTGTATTTTCCTTAAGGTAAAATTTCTACATAAGTCTATTTTATCTACAGCTTACATAAGGCTATTTTATCTACAGCCTACATAAGTCTATTTTAAATACAGTTTACATAGTCTATTTTATCTACAGTCTACATCAACGGTGGCCAAACCGCTGCTCTTCTGTGTTCACATTTTTGCTGGTTAACAATTTATGAAATTAAAACTTTTCGTTTGAAATATATAATATATAAAAGTTAGTAACTTATTATTTAAAAGTTTAGATCAAATATGGCAACAAGTTGCAGGAAACGAAAATATAAAGGAAGAGGACTTTGCATTTATCGATAAAGACGGTAGGCCAATTTGCCTCATCTGCCAAACACCGCTAGCAAATTACAAAGCTAGCAATTTGAAAAGACACTATGAAAAAAGTCAAAGCATCGAGCAGTAACTAGTAACGAGCATCTGACAGAACTTCTTCGCACCACAACTACTAGCTACCAACCAGATTTAAATAAACTTGCTAGTTCAAAGGCTTCTCAGCAGAATCATAACAATTAATGTTCACTATAATTATGAGTATATATGCAGTGTGTTTCTATTCATAAATTTTACATATTTAAATATTTCTTCAATTGTGTAACTGCAACGCATATATCTCTTCAACATACGGGTAGTGTTAAAACAATTTTAATGTTTAAATCATTAAATTGGAATAAAAAGTAATTTTTAAAAATAAATCACAAAAGGGATTTTTCATTGCGAGTGGGGTCGTGACCCATAGTGCTTCAATGCGGCACTCAACAATTTTTTAAATGTTAAAAATGGCTCTCAGTTACTACAGGTCTGGCCACCCCTGGTCTACATAGTCTATTTTAAATACAGTCTACATAAGTCTATTTTATCTTCAGTCTACATAAGTCTGTTTTATCTACAGTCTACATAAGTCCATTTTATCTACAGTCTACATAAAGCTCTTCTTGCTGAGGACCCAGCCAATGCTATGACTTCCTATGAGACAAATAAAACGAACAAAGCTGATGTGAACACTGACCTTGTGAACTCTGACCTTCTGAAGAATAACCTCACTGCCCAGGTTTTGAAGCAGGCTGATGACAAAATTAACTTTGAAACCAAGCTGAAATCACTGCAGAAAGAAAATCTCGCCCAGGCTGAGTATATTGACAAGTAGGTTGTTGTACAGTCAGCTTTAGATCACACGGACTGATATATATATATATATATATATATATATATATATATATATATATATATATATATATATATATATATGACTTAACTAGTACTGTCAACATCTTGATTTAACTTTGAAACCAAGCTGAAATCACTGCAGAAAGAAAATCTCGCCCAGGCTGAGTATATTGACAAGTAGGTTGTTGTACAGTCAGCTGTAGATCACACGGACTGATATATATATATATATATATATATATATATATATATATATATATATATATATATATATATATGACTTAACTAGTACTGTCAACATCTTGATATCAGGTTCACCAAAACACTTCTTAGAAAAATTACAAAAGGTTAAAAACTCAGCTGCTAGGCTAATTCTAAAGGTAAAAAAACGTGATCACGTCAGACCCCTATTTCATTGGCTCCCTGTACAAGCACGGATCGACTACAAACTCTCAGTTCTCGGCCACAACTTTTTCTCTAATTCCTCCCCTTCCTATCTAACTGAACTTCTCTGTCTATTCACCCCTTTCGACAGCTTCACGTGTATTCTTTCCGTCCCCAAGACTCGCACAAAAACATATGGTGAACGATCTTTCTCTTTCTGTGCCCTCAAACAATGGAAGTCTCTTCCACTACACATTCGCAATATACCAACCATCACAGCCTTCAAAACTGCACTCAAAACACATCTCTTTAAACTTTATTATCCTGACTGATTCCCCACTCTGACCGATAAATGCTGCTGCTGGGTAGCCGTCCATGGATTGACATGTAAATAGTTCTGGAATGTGGGGAGTGAATAGACATTTGTTTTGTTTGATTTACTTAGTATATGTTACTTTTTAAGTTCATCATTATGTTTGTTAAATTGTATGTACAGCTTGGTGAGCCCAGCCCGAGGCTGGGGTACCAGCTATATAAAACCACCACTAATAATAATAAATTCTGACTGGTAGCAGACCTGTTTACACTCAAACTCTTAAAATCGTACAATATCATCACAAAATCGTTCAATACATTATCTTAATAGTAAACAATAAACATGTAGTATATATAATTCATAACCTCAAAATCGTACATTGTACGCCAAAATTGTAAGAGTAAACAGGTCTGTGGTAGATATAACTTAACTAGTACTGTCAACATCTTGATAACTCTGTCTGGTAGATATACATGAACTAGTACTGTCATCTTGAGATAAGTCGAACTGGTGGATATATCCTAATTAGTATTGTCAACTCTAGATAACTCTGTCTGGTAGATATGAATTAACTAGCTAGTACTGTCAACTCAAGATAATTTAGACTTCAATATCTCGGACCAGTTAATTTGGAAGCTGTTTGAAGCAACATATTTTTTTATCACCTCTAAATTTTAAAATAATTTTTGTATTTCAATCATTTTTTAAAAATATCTTTGTCAAATAAATAATTTTTAAAAACCTGGCGGCGAAGCGAGCGGCCACCAAGCGGCTGGCGTTGAAAAAGAAAAAAATGGTGGTGGTGAATCATTCCATACCCAGCATCACAAGCAGAAATGAGTGACATAGATTTTTCCTATTTGCTACTCCCCCAGATTACAACAGCTGGTTCATCGTCAGCGTCATAAGTTGAACACTTTGTGTGCTGGACCAATGTTGATGGACTGAACAGATTGTGTGCTGGACCAATGATGATAGACTGAATAGTCCATTGCGGGACCAATTTTTTTGATGGACTGAACAGATACAGGAAAAAGCTTCTTGGATTAAACTAAGTCTTCCTCTGTACACAGGTTTAAAGCTACAGGTTTAAATGACTCTGTACTTGAAAGGAACTCATTATTTTAATTTTGTTTGTCAGTAGATTTTAATACTTGAGTGTGAATTATTTTAATGTGCAATAAATTTATTAGTATTAATTTACACTTGAATGTTTCGATCACGGAGAATAACGGTCCTTACTGACAAATTAAAGGACAATTTAAAAGGGACTGCGTTCAAGCCGTGTGAAGGAAATAGTGGAACAAGATATGTTTTAAGGGGTAGGCTACCAATATTTTTTTTAAAACTACCCAGCTTTGAACATCATATTGTCCTGTCTTTTCATCTCAAGCTTTGAACATATCTTGTCCCACTATTTCCTTGACTAATTTCTTCTCCATGAACTAATTGCCAGTATGACCTTTCTTCTCCATTAATTAATTGCTAGTATGACCTTTCTTCTCCATTAATTAATTGCCAGTATGGCCCCTCTTCTCCACAAATTAATTGACAGTATGGCCTTTCTTCTCCATGAACTAATTAAGACAACAATGCCTTTCCAAAGTTTCACATAATAACTTTATGTATGTCATGTTATACTTGAACATCACTATATGTCATGTTATAGCTTGTGAACCAATAGAAATTGCCCCTGATAGATTCATCTATGTTTTGCTTATTCCCTCTTATTTTACTGTGCAATAATGAGCCCCATAAGCTTCATCCAGCTAATGACTGTGATATTTTGAATTTTATGGACTATTTCATATCTTGTTTATTCTATTCTATACTAATTAAAGTTTTGATCGATAGATTTTTTCAAGAATTTAGGTACCTCTGTTTCTTCAAGTCTGTTTTTAAATTGTATTTTTAAACAATTCTAAATACATGTCTGTCATATTAAATATTTTAATGTTTTTTTAAAAAACTTTTCAATTCATCACATGGTTTAAAATGTCTCCAGGATATGACTTGACCAATTGGCCTTCTAACATTCCATAACATTCCAGTAGATGTGAACTTGGCCAATTGGCCTTCTAACATTCCAATAGATGTGAACTTGGCCAATTGGCCTTCTAACATTCCAATAGATGTAAACTTGCCCAATTGGCCTTCTAACATTCCAATAGTGTTGAACTTGGCGGCCGATCGGCCTTCTAACATTCCAGTAGATGTGAACTGTTTATTTGACTTGTCGTTGAAGTTTACCCAATAGTTTAAATTAACTTAATTTCTAGCTTCTCATAGAATTTTTTTTGTTGCAGTGTATGTAGGAAATTATGATGAGGATCTATTCATCAAATGACTTAAGTAAATATTTTTGAGATGATTTTTTTTTTATTTCAATCATTTATTTGGGACTGGTGTCAACATATCCACCCCCACCAAATTATTTTTTTCTTAGGGTTGGTGCTAAAATTAAAAATTTGCTAAAATATTTATAAAAAGTGTCTCTATTTTATGTGAGGTCTTGATCACATGACAGGTCAAATGAAAGAAATATTAACAAGCATGGTACTTAACATGTTGATAAATTAGCATTTCACATGATAGAATAATACTTTTTGTACAATACTTTATGTACTAGTACTAAACACATGAGAGAACAATATGTTATGTACTAGTACTAAACACATGAGAGAACAATACTTTATGTACTAAACACATGAGAGAACATTACTTTATGTACTAAACACATGAGAGAACAATACTTCATGTACTAAACACATGAGAGAACAATACTATATGTACTAAACACATGAGAGAACATCACTTTATGCACTAAGCATAGAAGAGATCTTCTCATTAAACTGAACACTGGTTACATTAGTGGTAACACTTCATCAATTACAAACACAATAGAAAATCACTCCATTGACTGAACAATTACCCACTAATAATATTGTCAAATCTTCCCCCCCCCCTGCTCAAGTCAGATGTACTCTGCCACCTGGGCACAAAATAAATGCTGAAATATACCAAAAGATAGTTGTAGCTTTTGGTAAGAGCTCTAAAACTCTCAAAAGAAAAACTCAGTAACAAAAATTTAAGTGGAAAATACTCTCAGTGACAAATAAAATTGTAGGAATTACTCTCAGTGGCAAATACACTTAAGGAAATACTCTCAGTGGGAAATACACTATAGAAAAACTCTCAATGCCACATACACTTTAGGAAATACTCTCAGTGGCAACAATAAATGATGAATCTCATGAACTTGACTAAAAAAATGTAGTAAAGATTTGAAGCAACATTTTTTTCTTAAATCATTAATTTTTTTAATTAGCATTTTTTGGTTCAATGGCAAGCATGAGCATGTTATCATTATGAACAAACTGTTGGCACAGTTGTTTACTTATGTCGTGGAATTATTTATAGCTGCACAATAAATGATACAAAAACAAGCCTAACATAGAAGCAGGTAACAATGTTAATCTATTTACACGAATAATTATTGCATCATCTAAATTGATGGATCACTTTTGTTCATGTAATGGAATTTTGTTTAAGACTAGATGAAAAAAGTATATATTACATTGACAAATGTGTGCTTTTCACAGGAAAGTCTAAATATAATCACAGCTTAATATAGTCACATTGTAATACAGTCAAATCTTATACACAATCATATCTTACTACAGTCACATCTTAAAATAGCCATATAATTCATACACATCTTATTATAGTCACGTCTTAATGCAGTCACATAATACAGTCACACCTGAAAACATTCACATCTAAATAAGGTCACAAAATCAAGTCACATTTCAATAAGGTCACATCGCAATTCAGTTACCTCTTATCAAAATGTACTTACTTAAAGTTTGTTGCATCGAGGTATGGATGGACATATGACAATATTTGTATCAAGACATGGATGGAAACATGACAATATTTGTATCAAGGCATGGATGGAAACATGACATTATTTGTATCAAGGCATGGATGGAAACATGACAATATTTGAATAAGTCATGAGGATCTTTTTGATAAGAGTCTATGACATGTCTTCATAATCAAATTTGATAATCATAACTATTGTGTTAATATCGCTGTTCACAAAACATAGAAGCATTTCCAGGTAAAACTTAAAAAACATGTATAGCTTAGCTTATTTTGCCCTACTACCAAATGTTTTCAAGTGTAGTTTATGTAGCCCTTAGCTTAGCTTATTTTGCCCTACTACCAAATGTTTTCAAGTGTAGTTTATGTAGCCAATAGCTTAGCTTATTTTGCCCTACTACCAAATGTTTTCAAGTGTAGTTTATGTAGCCCTACCACCAACCCCCATTATTTCTGATGCTCTTCCAGCCATTTCTTGCAGATGTTCTTCACAGCCGTCTGCCCCAGCCTCTGAGCAGCTCCAGCAATTCTCTGTACATCCATGACCCGATCCCTCTTCACGGCAAGCAGGTACGCTGAGCGCAGTTTGCCACATAAGATGAATGCATTGATCTAAGAAATTTCAAAAAATTGATTTTCACAAATTTTGTAAGTTTAATTTTTTTAATAGGAAATAAATGTGAGCATCTCTTAGCGTATTTTTTAAATTGCTGAACAAAGGAAATACTCATTTTATGTAGAGATTTGCCAGACATTTGTCTTAAAGAAAATAACTGACACTAGATTTATGTAGAGATTTCCCAGACCTTTGTCTTAAAGAAAATAACTGACACTAGATTTATGTAGAGATTTGCCAGGACTTTGTCTTAAAGAAAATAACTGACACTAGATTTATGTAGAGATTTGCCAGACCTTTGTCTTAAAGAAAATAACTGACACTAGATTTATGTAGAGATTTGCCAGACCTTTGTCTTAAAGAAAATAACTGACACTAGATTTATGTAGAGATTTTCCAGACCTTTGTCTTAAAGAAAATAACTGATACTAGATTTATGTAGAGATTTGCCAGAATTTTGTCTGCATAAAAGAACTTGCTCACCATACTATATTATTTCATTTAAATTGATCAAGTTAACCAAATAATGAACACTGTACCCAGGCAGGTTCAATGACCACAGTAAAACAAGACAGGTTCAATGACCACTTTAAACATAGCCAGGTTCAATGACCACTGCAAACTTAGCCAGGTTCAATGACCACCGTAAACCTAGCCAGGTTCAATGACCACTGTAAGCCTAGGCAGGTTCAATGACCACCGTAAGCCTAGGCAGGTTCAATGACCACCGTAAACCTAGCCAGGTTCAATGACCACTGTAAACCTAGCCAGGTTCAATGACCACTGTAAACCTAGCCAGGTTCAATGACCACCGTAAACCTAGCCAGGTTCAATGACCACTGTAAGCCTAGGCAGGTTCAATGACCACCGTAAACCTAGCCAGGTTCAATGACCACTGTAAGCCTAGGCAGGTTCAATGACCACTGTAAACCTAGCCAGGTTCAATGACCACTGTAAACCTAGCCAGGTTCAATGACCACTGTAAATCTAGCCAGGTTCAATGACCAATGTAAGCCTAGGCAGGTTCAATGACCACTGTAAACCCAGGCAGGTTCAATGACCACAGAGTTGACACTACTCCCAGAGCTGACTCACTTTGTTACTGTCGCTCCTCAGGAGTTGGATCAAGGAGTCACTCTCATCCCTGGCCTGTGTGTGGGTGTCAGCAATGACCAGGAGCGATGCTCCAATGATTTCATCAATTGCCTCGTCATCGACCAGACCATCGTGAATCAGAGCTTGGGTCAAGGAGCTGATCTCACTGAAACGATTCTGCTTGGCCAGCTCCCGTGAGCAGAAGCTAAATATAACAGTGGAGTTCAAACGGCATTCCTGGGAATAGACAGTAAATATAAAAGTGATGATCAGACATTCCTGGGAATAGAAGGTATATATAACAGTGGAGATCAAATAAAAAGAAGGTATATATAACAGTGGAGTTCAGATGACATGCCTTTGGACAAAAGAGTATTATAAGAATAATTGAAATTGTATTATGAAGCTAGCAATAAATTCACTGTAAAAAAATTCACTAAACTAGGCACAAATTTATCTAATAAATTAATAGACTAGCCTAGATGTATCTAATAAATTAATAGACTAGCCCAGATTTATCTAATAAATTAATAGACTAGACCTTATACATCTAATACCGTACATTAATAGATTAGCCCTGATTTATCAAATACACCAATAGACTAGCCCAGATTTATCTAATAAATTAATAGACTAGCCCAGATGCATCTAATAAATTAATAGACTAGACCATATACATCTAATAAACTAATAGACTAGCCCAGATTTATCTAATAAATTAATAGACTAGACCATATACATCTAATACACTAATAGACTAGCCCAGATTTATCTAATACATCAATAGACTAGCCCAGATGCATCTAATAAATTAATGGACTAGCCCAGATTTATCTAATAAATTAATAGAGTAGCCCAGATACATCTAATAAATTAATAGCTAGCCCAGATGCATCTAATAAATTAAAAGACTAGCCCAGATACATCCAAGTTTTAAAAAAACAAACAACTTATGTCATAAACTCATGCTCTATCAAAGTCTCACCAATTAGTTCAAACTGTAATAAAGAGAACATGAGAACATAAAGAAAAATGTGGCTCAAGCAAAACTCCACTGACCCTAATAATCCTCAATGCCAGGTCGAATCCTGCCTTAAAGGTTGGTCCACTGAGAATGATCTGAAAAAAACAACAAAACATAAACATATTTCAAGGGGATTGAAACATAGGAGCAAAGTTTCCACATCACCGAAAAGTATATGGAGACGATATGAAGGATACATGACACCTGACCACAGTGGGAATAAGCACAGGATAAGTGGAGTGGGTGGGACGAGAGCAGGCTGTTATCTCAAAACTGTGTGTCGAAAAAGGGATGGCCTAATAACTGCCCTGATAATGGCCCTAATAACTAACCAAATGCTGGCTTGACTAGTTCTGTACAACTGACTTGTTCTGTACAACATCTCAACACCCTGAATAGTTCTGTACAACAAATCACGACACTGAGGAGTTCTGTACAACTCACCATATTATATATTTATGTACAACTCATGTACAAAGTATTTCTGTACAACGCACCATCCTGATAGTTTCTTTACAACTTACCATACTGACTAGTTCTGTACGAGAAGAACTTTGACCAAATAATGTCGGAATCTGCGCCCCTTGAGTTAACTTGGTCGGCTCCACCGCTGAAGCTCCACCCATAGACTGAGTCAGACACTGCTCCAGGAACTTGGTCACCTCTATCTGCAGGTTGATGGTACGAATATGCCTGGTGAGACAGAGGAATGCCCTTAGGTTTTGAAATTAAGTCTTATAAAAGAACCATAGTCAATCAACATAAAATGACCATAATCAATGAACATACATGATCATAGTAAATCAGCATAAAAATGACAATAGTCAATCAACATAAAATGACCAAGTAATTCAACATAACATTACAATAGTCAATCAACATAAAACAACCAAGTCAATCAACATAAAATTACCATAGTCAATCAATAAAAAAATGACCATAGTCACTCAACATAAAAATGACAATATTCAATCAATATAAAATGACC